AAACACATTGTAAACATAGTTGGACCTGCTCTTGCAGCCAAGCTTCTATCATTATTGCATAGTCATAATGTTGCTTCTCTTTCTCTTTTTTACCGATACTATAATGGGCACTGCTCTAAAGAGCTAGCGTCTGTTATGCCATTTACTAAAATTCATTTTCGTGTTACTTGTCATTTAATTAAGTCTCATCCTTTTTTTGTGACTGTTCCTGAGTGATCCAAAAACTCTTATTTGTCTAGTTTTTTTCCTCGAACATTAGTTCTTTGGAATTCGCTTCCTTCATCTTGCTTTCCTGATTTATATAATTTGCAATCTTTTAAGTTGTCTGTCAACCGTTGTCTTGCTCTACAATCTTCCTCTTTTCTGTTCCAGTAACTTCCAAGTCTAATAGTGGTTGCTTACAGCCTTGTTGGAAGCAAAAATGTATATATATATATATATATATATATATATATATATATATATATATATATATATATATATATATATATATATATATATATATATATATATATATATATATATATATATATATATATATATATATATATATATATATATATATATATATATATATATACAAAACATATATATACATATATATATACAGCGGTGGCCAAAAATTAAAGACCACTCATTTTTTAGTTGGTTTCTTAATCTTTAAATCAAAATTAAGAAGATTCTAATTGACATATTAAATTATTTTTTTTAATATCTTGTTAATTAAAACATACGGATTAAAATGGTATAATTTTTTAAATCTAATTCTAATTAACTTATTAAAAAACTGATGAGTACTTATAAATCTTCTTTAAATAAATTGGACAAAATTTAACGACCACTTTCAAATCTTTAATTTGCACTTATTAAAAATAATAATCGATTATTTTTTTTAACTGTCTTAATTGCTTATTACGTTGGCTATAAAATAAAATGTCGAAACCTGAGTTTCGATATCAAATAAACATTTATTTTTTGAATTGCAATAAGGATATGAAAATATTGCAAAAATGCGTGCAAAGATCGAAGAAAAAGACAGAAACGCGGCTCTTGTATTAAAAGAAGAAGGCTATAGCATCAGACAAATAGCAGAAAAGCTCGGAAGGTCTCACTCTTGCATTATTAACATAATTCAACGATACAAAGAGACCGGGTCAATTAATGATCGTCATAGAACTGGACGCAATAAAATTTCAAATGACCGTGATGTTCGCTCGTTAGTGAGATTAATGAAAGAAAACAGACAAGCATCATCTACAGACTTGTCTACGAAATGGACACTGTCAAATGGTCTGAAAGCAAGCCCTAGAACTGTGCGAAGGGTCCTCTATAATTTAAATTATTTATGGCGTGCTGCTGCAAAAAAACCACGCTTAAATAGAAAACAAAAGTTTCCCAGGAAAGAGTGGTACAAACTACATAAAAATTGGTCAACAGATCAGCGGAGCCGTGTGGTCTTTAGTGATGAAATGAACGCGACCTTTTCTGTTGAGGTAGACAACAGAAAAGGTTGCGTTATGTTGCGTAGACTTCCAAGCGAACGGTTTGATGAATCATGCATTTTGAAACGAACAAAACAAGGCAGTGGTTCAATAGGCATTTGGGCCTGTATGAGTGCCTGTGGAGTTGGCGTTTTTCATTTATTCGATGGTAGACTCAACAAAGAAAGGTACATCGAAATTTTGGAAAACTCGCTTATTCCTAGCATTGATTTATGGCAGTTGCAAGATGGATTTATTTTCTAGCAAGATAATGCGCCGTGTCATAAAGCGCATGTTGTTAGCGATTGGTTCAATTCTAATAAAATTCAAGTGCTTCCATGGCCTGCCAATAGTCCAGACTTGAATCCAATAGAGAATTTATGGTTGTGGCTTAATCACAAGCTTGGTAAAGAACAACTTTACAATTTGGAAGATTTGAAATCTTCTATCTCTTATCATTTGAAAAATGTGCCTGATGAAGTAATCAAAACTTTAATGAATTCAATGCCAGAACGAGTACAAGAGTGCTTGAAAACAAATGGAGGAACAACACGTTTTTAAATTATTTTTTTATTTCTTTTTGAAATTTTTTTGAAACTGGTCTTAAAATTTTGTCCAATTTTTTTTTCAATTTATTTTTTTTACTAGTCAGTTTTTTAATTTTTTAACATTATTTTGTAAAAAAATTATAAATTCTTTTATAATAAATATAAAATACAATAAAAATTCTTTCTAAAAATGTTTTTCTTTTTTTGATATCTTTTTCCAAAATAAAATTATACTAAAGTTAAAAATAAAATTTGAAAAAAAAAAGAGTGGTCTTTAATTTTTGGCCACCGCTGTATATATATATATATATATATATATATATATATATATATATATATATATATATATATATATATATATATATATATATATATATATATATATATATATATATATATATATATATATATATATATATATATATATATATATATTATGTTATAACTTTGTTTTTTTAACTTCCAATTCTAATAGTGGTTGCTTACAGCCTTGTTGGAAGCAAAAATGTAAAAAAAAAAAAATGGACTTTGCCGTCCCGAACTCTCATATTGTTTAAAAAAATATTTATGTGATGCTTTCCTAACTGCTAAAATGACGGAATCAATGTTTCATCACACCTGTATTTAGAATAAATACAGGTGTGATGAAAATTTTATATGAGATATGATACTTAAAGTATAGCGCAAAGTTATTTTAAATTTTTAATGAGATATGATACTTAAAGTATTGCGCAAAATCTAAATTTAAGTATGTTGTTGCTTATGACAAATAAAAATGTTTTCCAAAATGGCAGTGATTAAAGTTTTGAAACAAAAATACCCCAAAACGTTATCCCGCTCCTAATAAACAAATTTATACTAAATCTAAGTTCATTGATATATTTTAAATTTTATCAAATAACTTATTAGTGTTCAAAAGTTGTGAATATGTAAAGTTTACAACCCTCTCATTTTGGAGTGGGTGAGTACTTCATAAATGGTCAAAATTGGCGTTTTGAACGCCAATAGATTATACAATGAAATTTGAAATGTGTTGATGAATTTAAAATAATATAATACAATGATTTAATGTATTCTATTAACTCTTTACCATCATATTTGGGAAGGAGGTGATAACTTTTTTAGTTTCCAGGCGCAATTTTCGGGAAATTATTCTTTTTGACGTAAGCATCAACATACTTAAATTTAGAGTTTTTGCTATACTTGCAAGTATCATATCTCATGTAATAAAAAATCGGGTACGGGCCTGCAACAAACACAACATTTTTTATATTACACGTTTCGAAGCAAAAGTTTCTAATAATATTTCATCTAATAATGTTTCATCTTTTCCAATATTAGTAATATTGGAAAAGATGAAATCTTGACTAATTTTTTCAATTTCTCTTGGCTTCGAGTTAAACTTCTTCTCTCTTGAGTTAAACTTCTTCTCTCTTGAGTTAAACATGAATAATTGGTGATTTCTCTTTTTTTTAAAAACTTTTTTTTACAGTGAGTATGTGTATATATAAAATTTCTCGAAATAAAAGCAGTAAGTATTCTAGTTTGCATCTGAGTTTGCAATAAGCAATTTTTTAAACTACAGTAAAGTAAATCAATAATCTTACCTTACTTTCATAACATGTGTAGGGTAACAAATATTAGTTTTAAAAGATTATTTCAAAAGTGACAAGTGAGTTTATTATTCTTTGAAGCAAAATAAATCCTCAGATGCTGTTTTAGTTGTTACTACTTAATGCGACCTCGGCGTACTTGTGTTAGACGAACTCAAAGTCAAACAACAAGTTATATCGACAGCGTCAGAAGCAAACATGATACTTGAAAAGCTCAGAAGCAGAGGCATGCTGCTTTAGGAAGTGCTCTAAACCTACTATGTTAGCGCACACCAAGATGATCACCTCAACTCAAGGGTGACATTAAAACAAATTCAGTGCAGAGCAATTAAAGTAATTTCTAAGCTCAAACATCTTTCTTACAAAGGCGGGTCGACATTCTTGAATTAACCACTCTGAAAACCAAAAGAAAACGTCAAGATTTTATACAACATAAACTAATACATGGTTTTAAATAAACTGATTCCTTCACTCCGTAAATAACCGTGTCTACTACTTCTTACTACAATCCACGCGGCCACAACCTTTATTTGGAAAAAAATTGATCAAACTTTTTTTAATTTTTGTTTTCAGATGCCCCTAAGAAGATCTAAAGGTCTTGTCATAGAGCACCACGGAAGAGCATTGAACTAGTAGGTTCACGCCTCCTTTCTCACCGATGTCGAGAAATATGTCGAGAGCTCGCTTCGAACCATAGATTTCTTGTTTCTAAAGCAAGCGGTATTAAAAATGCACTATGGCCGTTTAAGTTAACAAATGCTTTTAAGAACTTTTTTTTTAACAGAAAAGCATAAAAGAACTACTTGAAAGACATTATTTGTCAAACCAGAACACCGAGTATCTTTAGCATAGTACAATTATTGGAGCCGCACTTATATCCCATCAGCAGTCTGTAGACAGATTGTTAATTTTATGTAATAGATTAATAAAATAAAATGTTCTCTTTTCGCTTACCAGTATTTTAAATTGGCTATCAAAATCCCCGATTATAACTTCCTTGATAAAACAATCAAAAGATTATTATGTAACACGTAATATTTGTGATAAATGAGGTCAAATGAAGAGATTTTGATATTTTCTTAAGAGCTTTAACAGAAAATACCAAAGTGCTCAAAATTTGACAATGAAAAATTTGAAAAGTTTGATATCTTCCCAGTTAATATAAGTTATAAAAATACAATGTATTTTTATAACTTGTATTAACTGGGATGATATGGCTTAATGAGCATTTTTATTACATTCCTACAGTAACATTTGCAAGGAGGCAAATGAAAAATTATTGTCTCTGAAACTCTATAATTTTTATTCTTGAGCTTTTTTTATAAACATATTTTAAAGTCTCATTAAGTAACAACAACTTTAAAATTGAAAGCTATAACCTTCATGCAACTTTATTGTAATTAGAATAACCTTAATAAACTTTAATCCTATAATAAAAAAAAAAACTACCACAAATAACATTATTAGAGTTAAATAATAAAAAACTAGATTAAAAAATATTTCAATAAGAACCAGCTTTAAAAAATAAATTATCAAATCCATATTGAGTACACTTTAAACCTGCAACAAGGCATCCATATTTTATAGCAGCATCAAGTTCCTCATTACATATAAATTTAGATATAGTGCCAGCAATAAATGTATCCCCTGCTCCCAATGTGTCTACAATATTTTTACAAACTATTGAGTCTGATTTAAAATAAAATACAGAGCCTGTACTAGAAACATATTTTGAAGCAAATGCTCCAGTTTCACCTCATGGGCATATAAAAATTTCAGGTTTTAAGTTTTTTTTTGAGCTGTAATGTATAATTGTTTCTTCTGAAGATTTAAAACCTTTACCTAAACCAATTTCTTTTCCAATAAACAAAATATCAACATTTGGCAACAAATACTTTTCAAGCTCAATCAAGCGAGAAAACTTTTCCATTTCTCCAGATATGATTATATGTTTTGGAAATTTTTGTTTCAAAAGTATTTGGCGAACATAAGCAATCATTTTTGAAACTTCTATAAGATTTCTTCCTTCAAAGTGAATCCAATCATAGCTTAGAATGTCAAGCTTCAAAAAGTCTTCAAATTTTACAGATGGAAAATCATTATTATAATGCAAAATAGTTCTGCTTTCATTTGCTTCGTTCAAAATACAACAGGACATTGGGAACTTTTTATCAAAGGTTATAGGACAACCCTCTAAATTAATATTATACTCTTTTAAATGACGTATAACGAAATCATTTTCTGGTTGGTAAGATAAATAAGAAAAAAGATGAACGTCTATATTGGGATTTTGTGCCAAGACACATGCAGTATTAGCAGCATTTCCTCCTTTAGCCCAGTATTGTGAGCTTACTTTTAAATCTTCATCTTCGATGGGAAATTTACTACATACATTTACTACGTCTACGCAAGTCAATCCTACTACTAAAATTCTTTTTCTCATTTACTAATAAAAAGAAACCAAGTCAACTTGACGATTCGTACCACAATGGAACAATAACATTTAGTGTCTATTTTACGGCTGCAACGGTTCCTTTTTTTTTTTTTTTTACTTAAGATTACGTTGAAACATAAATAATACTACTAATATTACGGTCTTACGTTAAAGGTTATCATGTTAAGTTATTTTTTTAAAAACAGTTTATTATAACTTATAAAATAATAAATTTATTATATGTCTGCAATTTAATATATTATTATGTTATAAATTATTAGTGTTATAATAGATTAAAGATAATGTATAACCTTTCGCAAATTAAAAAAACTAAACTGTTGCAATTTTATTATTATTAATAATAAATTGCAAGTTTGTTATTACAACATTTTTTTAAAAGCGCAAAATATTCACATTTTAATATATTTAAAATGGTAATTCTTCGGTTTAAATTACATTTTTAATTTGTTTTTGGTTTTTTAAATTTCTTTAAATCACATCGTATTTATAGCTAAATTTTTAGCAGTTTAAAAGAAAATCTGTGTGCTAATATATATTTTTTAATTTGACATCTATAATTTACCGTTTGTGGTAATAACATCTCTAAACGACTCTTTGTTGAGGCAAAATTTACAAAATACAGTACACTTTATGTAAAAACCATTAAATTTTATTAAGAAAATTAATTAACTTTTATTGTTTTTTAAAAAACCAGAAAAATACAACTTAATAAACTGGAATGTTTTTTATTTTTTTAATAAAAATAAAAACAATTTAAATGTTTTCATTTTAGAAATTAGAAAAAATTTGAAATTCATTTTTGGTAATCCTACAGTTATGCGGCCTAAAATAATTATATTTTTCCGCTTGTCAGTAGAGGCTTTACAAATATGATTATAATAATAATTGAAATAATTATTATTATAATCATATTTGTAATCGACTATCTTATAGCCTGCTGCTACAAGGAAGTGCTGCTACATTGAATGAGATTTTGGCATGGGGCAGCAATCTTTTTTCACTTTATTATTTCAATTATGTTCTTATTGTTTGTAAAGCCCCTACTGACAAGCGGAAAAATAAAATTATTTTAGGCCGCGTAACTGTAGGATTACCATATTATTTTACACTTGTTAAAAATTAAATTCAACTTCTTAAGACTTCAAAGGAGACCACTACAGTTAAAAAGGCTTCTTAATTTTTTTACTTTCAATCTCTTAACCCTAAGTAAAGTTGAAAAAAATATAATGCTTTTATTATTTATCTTCCAGAAAATGAGTTCTCTATTTATCTTCCAGAAAATGAGCACTCTAACCACTGTTCAACAGCTGTAGTGCTTGCTTTATAAGCAGGAAATCCAGAATCAAAACAAGCTCTGGACATATTTTCATGTCACAGTAAGGAAGGAGGCATGAAGTCCTGGTCAAATGCAGCCTGTAAAAGTTCTTAATGACTTGGTGAAACATAGAGTTGATTTAAAAAATCACTTTTAAATTAATAAATAGTTGTATTTGACATCAACTAAAAACAATGATGTAATATGTTTTTTAATTAGAGATATACCGGAATTCCGTTCTGGACAAAATTTGTGATTTTTAGGTTTTTTTAGGATTTTTACTTTTTTTTAAAACATTTAAATTAAAAAATCATTGTCCTACATTGAAATGTAGAACTAAAGGTAACCTAGGTAAAAAATATGAAATTCTTAACAAACACAATGTAATTTTATTTGCAGTAAGTTATTGCAGTGGTGGATGCAGGATTTTCTGGTGTCTGAGATAGCTAACTTCTAAACATGGAACAAACTCCAAACATTTGCAAAAAATTGCGATGATTGGAGGCTAAGAACAAAAAGTCCTTTGACTTCATCTGGTTAAGAAAAAAAATAAAAATATTATTATAAGTTATTATTATTTATTATTGTTATTATTATTATTATGCTATTATTTATACCATTATAGGTCTTTACATGTCATCAGTTTATACTTGTTTGTAAATGTCCCGCAGGATTGTATATATATACAGTATTATTAAAGTGAAAATATATTGATTCGATTAAAATAATTCGATTTTGATTTGATTTGATAAAAAAATATTTTTTGTAATTAATATTTTCAAAAATTATGACCTTATAAAAGTTAAACCCCCTTAATTGGAGGGGGTTACAAATTTTATATGGTCATAATTATTAGCGCTTTTTTAATCAAAAATTTTACCTGCCTCTGAAAATAGTTTCATGTTAAATGTTGCTTAATTTTTAAATAATTAAAAAGCATAGGATGCCTAATAGAGTAAATATTTTATTTTTAACCTAAATAGAAAAATGGAAAATAATGAAATAATTTCAAATATAAATATTATGCAGGTTAAAACTTTCAATAAATAAAATTCTAAGAAACAGGTAAAAATAACATATTCGATTTAAATCAAACAAGAATCAAATTAATAAAATGGGTTATATATATATATATATATATATATATATATATATATATATATATATATATATATATATATATATATATATATATATATATATATATATATATATATATATTATGGGTTAAAAAAATATATTATGTAGACATGATGATGAGGTGCAGGCTTTTACTTTCAATATTAAAAAATTATAAAAAGTAAATTTTATTAACAATTCTGGCAAATCTGGCTCTGGCTGAAATTCAAAATTTCCGATCCGGCACACCCCTATTTTTAATACAAATATATGTTTGAAGTTTTAACCTTAATAAATGCTTAATAGTCATAATTTAAAGCATTGTCCCAAAGCAGTTGGTACAAATTATTTTATTGAATTATTTGTTTTACTAGCAAGGTTCTATGACAAATAAGCAATTGGTTGAGAGTATTTTTCTAGCACTTTTATTTTTTAAAAAATACTCTGATATATAATATACATATTGGCCCAACAACAATATGTTTCACAATGTCCTTCTGTTTTTTAGACTTTTAGTTGCCTTAACAAGAATACTTATCAATTTTTTATATATTTATTCTTGTATATAATATATTTTTGAGATATAATTTTTTTAATCTATTTTTGATTTATATTTTTTTAGATGACCAAGTTTTTAATTATTTTACAATTGCTGGTTCTTTGCTCATGTAGTGAAAAATTTGTACGGATTGAACTTGATGCAAAATGGAGGCAAACCCCACTTCCAATTGAAGCAAGGTATAGTTTTATTTTTTTCTGTTTGACTTTTACAAATTTTGTTCTATTTTTTAAATGAGACTAAAAAATAAATAAGATATAGCTAGAAATGTGATAGAATTGTATTTGTTTATTTTGAATTTTAGATTTTTTTTATGAGTAGAATGCAAGAAGCGATCTTTAGTGAAGCTTGACTTTAACTTTGAAGTCTGACTTTGTCAAGTCAGACTTCAAAAAAAAGCTTAAGCAAATGCGTTAACATAACTTAAAAATTTTAAAAATGTTCTTGAAAAACTTAAAAGTGGTTAATTTGAGAGGGTAATCTGAAAAAATACTTTGCAACCAATAGTGGCAGAGTATTTTTGAAGGAAGAACTTTTTGAAATAAGCATAATAAATATATATTTTGAAATGATATATCTGAATTTTATACTTTTAAATGTTAACTTACAAAAATATATACATTTAATTGAACATGCTCATGTTACCTTCTAATTAATCTAAAGCTCTAACTACTGCATCACAGCTGCTTAATACGCAAATGGTATTGGTAAATCATTATATATGCTATGCAGTAAGAAAATGGTTAACACAAATAGATTTCATCATATGTACGACAAAGTCTTTCTGTTATAAAGTTGGCAAAAGCTCTTTATATAAAACATTCTAAAATATCAATATTGTTATATATATATAGTAAATGAGTCACTGAAGATCATATTTGAAATAAGGTTTACTGATGTTATCAGAAAACTTAAGGCAGCAGAAAAGCCAAAAAAAAAACATAAGTAACATGACATAATAAAAATTGACAAGAAATGTTGTAACACCAATTTAAATAAACATATTTTTTTAACTGCCTTCAAAACTAATTTTATTTGTCTAGTTTTTTTTCCTGCACTTCAACTCCAAAGGCTTAAAATGTGAGGAAAAAAATTAGACAAATAAAAGTTTTAAAAGCATGCAGGGACAGATACTGGAAACAAATAAAACTTTGGTGAACAATGAGTAAAGCGAGAATGAGTTTTAGTTGATGGAATTAGAAATAACTCCTTTGAGCAGCCACAATGGTAGTATTTTTAGAAAAGAGAAAGAGATGCAACTTTTTGATGATAGGAAAAAGGCTCAAGTCTAGCAGATAGAGCGGGTTTTATTATGTTTATGATGCATTCTTAGACCTAAGTAGAGGTAGAAAATGAAATCAGGGGTTAGAAAATAGCGAGCACGATAAATAGAAGCAACCTTAGTGGATGCTAATTTAGCAATTGATTGAATATATGGTTTCCATGAAGAGTTAATATTAAACGATAATCCAAGAAGACATAAAGAAAGAATATAGAAATGTTGACGGTATTGTGTTAGTTGTTTATAGTAAATAACTGAGTTTTGTAGCAGTTAAAATTTACAAGCTACTGCAAGTCCAAATCTGTTACAGAAGTGAGATCAGATTTAAGATCGGCTGTTCTAAGCAATCAAAAAGAGTTTTTGTCAAGACAGAAGTATAAAGTTGAGTCATTAGCAAAAAGAGTTACTTTAGATGTAAATTTGGCTGGTAGATCATTGTAAATAAGTATCAATGTAAATAAGAAATAAAAACATATCCTAGAATAGAACCTTGAGGTACCACAGAAGTTAATGGAAATAAAGAAGAGTGTTGGCCTACTAGGATGACTTTAATAAAGTGGTCAGAAAGAAACAATTTGAAAATCTCAAAAAATTTCCTAGATACAACATATGCAGCAAGGTTATGGAGAAGACCAATATGCCAAACTTTGTCAAAAGCTTTAGATATGTGAAGAGCAATAGCTTTATTCTCTCCATCTCCATCTAATGCACAATGAAATCTTTCAGTCACAGTCAACAAGTCAGCTGTAGTTAACAAATCAGCCGTAGAGCAAGAGGATTTGAAACTATATTGATTGCCTAAAAGTAAGTTATTTGACTTACCATAGGATGTGAGATATTTGTTGATCAAAGATCCAAAGACCTAGCTAATAACAGATAAAAGATTGATTAGGCAATAATTGGAGGGGTCAGAATGTTCTCTGACGTGATGATCCTGAGTCTGACTTAACCTGGAATTGTTAAAAGCAGTTACTTCCTGCAAACAGTAGTTCAAAACACCAAGCATGACATTGGAAAAACACTACATTTAGCAAAATACTAGAGATTAAGGTGAGCATAGGTTTTATAGTTTGAGTAGGTAGTTAGTTGCTGAGCTCAAACTGATTTAAGCAGAAGACTAACTTAAATAAAGAAACTTACATTTGAGTAAAAACTGCGCCAGAGGTTCTGATAGAATATAAAAAATACATATATTAAGTAACTTACAGGTGAACCAACACCGTGCCAGAGGTTCCGGAAGAACACAGACATACATTTAAAGTAAATTACAGGTGAGCTAACACAGTAACTAAGGCACCTCTAACTATATAAAAGACACACAAAAAATAATTAATAAAAATAAATCAGTAAAAAATTAAGTAATTTCATAAGATAATACTTTTTATTTTCAGATTAAATACATTATTTGCTTTATTAATTAAAAAGATTTTCTTTTTTGATATTTTTCTATTATTTGCGTTTTATTGATAAATTAAAAGAATCGATTCACTATTTTTGATTCTTTTTCTTTCTCCTAAAAATGTCTTGCAGATACCATTTTCCTCATAGTTTTATATTTTCTTGTACACTCAAAAATCATTTTTTAATGGGCAATGTTGTGAAATAAAGCAAGATAAAATAATGTCTTTAATATATATATTTTTTTTCAATTTCAAAACAACAGTCCACTTTTAGACTTCAGCGTAAGTATTATGTGGAGCGTTGTCTCTTATAACATGGACATGCTGAGGACCTTTTAAAATCTGTTCAATGACTGAGTTGGAAAAAACTTGTAAACTGCGAACAAATCCAGGCCATTAAATACAAGTAGACAAAGTTTCTTTTGGCCTTTAATTACCTGGCAATTCAAAGAAAAATAACCTATTCTGCTTCAATACAGTTGTGTAATTTCTCCACCAGAACAGTGGTGTATTAAGTTATACATAATATATAATTATGTATTATTGACTGTAAAACATGGTAGATATAACGTGAAGATGAGGGGTTGTTTTGGTCGAAATGCCACAAGTGACATTTTAAAAATAGATGAAATAATAAAAGTATTATGCTTTCTTTTTGAAAGTTGACTATATATATATATATATATATATATATATATATATATATATATATATATATATATATATATATATATATAATTTAAATTTTAATATTTTAGCACTAGAGGCCTTTCAAAAAATCATCAGTAGACTACTGATAATTTTTTGTAAGGCTTCTAGTGCTAAAATATTAAAATTTATAATTAGAGTAATTTTTGTAAAGTTAAAAGAAGAAAATATTTTGTTTATTGTTTATTTTGGACTAATTTTTTACTTATTGGTTATAAACACATTTCAATATATATATATATATATATATATATATATATATATATATATATATATATATATATATATATATATATATATATATATATATATATATATATATATATATATATATATATATATATATATATATATATAGTTTAGCACTATATATATATATATATATATATATATATATATATATATATATATATATATATATACATATATATATATATATATATATATATATATATATATATATATATATATATATATATATATAGTTTAGCACTATATATATATATATATATATATATATATATATATATATATATATATATATATATATATATATATATATATATATATATATTTATATATATATATATATACATATATATATATATATATATATATATATATATATATATATATATATATATATATATATATATATATATAGTGCTAAATTTTATATATATATATATATATATATATATATATATATATATATATATATATATATATATATATATATATATATATATATATATATATATATATATATATATATATATAATATATATATATATATATATATATATATATATATATATATATATATATATATATATATATATATATATATATAGGCCTCAGCGGGAAGCGAGAGCTTTAGCTCTCGCTCTCGCCCACACTCCCCTAAAACAGTTTACAGGAGCAATTTACGGCTCTCACAAAAGTATAATTTTTCTCATGAAGGTATAATTAAAATTACAAAAGAGTGCTATTTTAAATGAGGAGCAGCTCGGACAGCTCCCCAAATTCTTTTTTTGGAGAGCTTTTCTCGGCTCTTGTGCTCATTTGTTCCCGCCGAGGCCTATATATATATATATATATATATATATATATATATATATATATATATATATATATATATATATATATATATATATATATATATATATATATATATATATATATATATATATATATATAGATAGATAGATAGATAGATAGATAGATAGATAGATAGATAGATAATGCATAAATATATAATGTATAAATATATATATGTATAAATATATATATGTATATATACAGTGCTTGAAAAAACGGCTGATCAACAATCAATAATCGGCTATTTTTAGGGAAATTTTAAAAAATTCAAGGGTAAGTAAACTGTTTTTGTGAAAAAATTAAATTTGATTGGCAAGCTTTGAAAAACTATTTCAAGCGCTGTATATATATATATATATATATATATATATATATATATATATATATATATATATATATATATATATATATATATATAATAATTTTTTTTTAGTTTTTTCTGACGTTTACTTTTTATGCTTATATTTTTTTAGTGAGTTTATTGCACGACAAAGTAACATCAAGTTTTGGAAGTATATTGAAAGTTTTCAAAGTGCATTTAATGCAAGTGCTAAAGGTATATTTCATAAATTAAAAGATTACAATTCGTTAATAGTTAATATAATATATTCTAAATTTATATTATTATTTTGTTAAATGTCCATTCATTATTATTTATTTAATGGCATTATTTCTTTTTAATGCCAGCTGGTATAAAATAAATAATTAAAAATTATAATTTATAATATACATTTAAAGTTTAAATTTTAAATTTAATTTAAATTTTTTAAAATAAAAATAATAGTAATAGATATTTTCAAATTTTTTTAAATTTTTTTAAATTTAATATTTAAATGATGATCATATGGAAATGATAAAATGGGTAAATAGAATAAAATCTTTTAAATAATTATTATTAAATAAAAATAATTTTAAATTTAATATTTAAATGGAAATGACCAAGTTTAATGAGATATTTTTTTTTAAAAAGCAAAATAGAAAAGTAAAAAAACAATAGAAATAAAAAAAATTCTATACTTTCGTTTGCATTATTTGACTGTTTCTTAAGTAATATAAAACATTGTTTCTTATGCTTGATGAATTTATATTGTCTGATGAATTTATGTTGCATGATGAATTTTTATTGCCTGATGAATTTATGTTGTCTGATGAATTTATGTTGTCTAATGAATTTATGGTGTCTGATGAATTTATGTTGTCTGATGAATTTATGTTGTCTTTTAAGTTAGTAGAAGAAACAGTCTGGTATAAATGTCTCTGTTTAAAAGAACTATTTAATTTACTTTATTTTCTATTTTTTATCTTACGATGTTGCATCATAATCGTGTAAAGATTGGTTGAATTTATGTTTTTTTTTTATTGAGTTTGTTTTAATTTTATTTAATTAAAAATGTTTTTTATATATTTTTTTATATTAGAACTTTATAATGAAGCATTGGCTAAAGCAGGTTTGATGTTATCTTCTACAGAACTTGATGCACTGAAGTTTTCTTTATCGATAAGAGTTCAATCACCAAAAGTGCAATTTTACCAGCAGGTATATTAGTTGTAGTTTAGCTAGCAAGTATATTTGTTTTAATTTTACCAGAAGGTATATTTGTTGTAATTTTACCAGCAAGTATATTTGTTGCATTTTTACCAGCAGGTATATTTTTTGCATGGCTGTGGAATTAAAGTCGAAGTCGGAGTTGCGACATCTTAGTGGAGTTGGAGTCGGAGTTGGAGTCGCTAAACAAAATCGTGACTCTGACTCCAATAGTAAAACTTTTCTGGAGTCGGAGTCGTTACCTTTTTTTTTACGACTCCACAACCCTGATTTGTTGTAGTTTTACCAGCAAGTATATTTGTTTTAAAGTTTATTCTCTAACATCTTGGAAGTTTAAGTAAAAGTAAAATATGTAGAGAATAATAAAAGTCCTAACAACAGGCCCTAACAACAATATGTGCAGAATAATGGCTTATTTTTCTTGCAGAATTTTTTTTTGAGTAAATTAATCTTCTTTTTCTTTGTCTAAAAATATTATCTGGAATAAAATTAAATTGTTTTTATAAATAAAAATAAACTCAAGGTACAAATTAAAATGTTTATGAAAAAAAAATATTATTTTCAATTTTTTTAAATAAATCTATTTAAGTTACTGTTTTACATGTTTTAAAAACAATTTTTTAAAATGTATTTAATAAAATGTTCATTCTGTTTTTAGATGGCAGATAGTTTTCAACAAAAATGCAATATATTTTTTCAAACATCTGACAGAAATATTGCATGTAATTTAGATGATGCCTTGAGAGTAAAGAAAAATATTCCAGACAAGTATTTTATTATGTTGTTATGCCCATGCATACTAAGCTGTATTGTAATATGTTTTTAATTTATCCGTTAAAGGCAAACAGATTTGTATACTATTTTTTACCTTTTTTTAGTTCATTGGTTCATGAATTTGATCACATCTATCCAGGAAGTGAACACAACTCTCACTTGCTCATTGTTTATGCTAATTTTTATATTCCAGAGTTTAAAGAAGCTCATCAAAAGATTGTCAGCATGTTAAGTTCATCTAACATCAAATATATCCTGAGACACTTTTACCAAGTAAACTTCTATTATTACTATTGTAATGAAATTATTGCACTTTTCTTGTATAAAAGGTTTTGTCAAAATTTTTTTTAAAGCTAAAATTACATTAAAATAAAATATATATATATATATATTTTTATACACAAATATATGTTTAAATAAATATATAAATATGTATATATATCCATCTGTCTGTCATTAATATATATAAATATGTATATACATCCATCTTTCTATCCATCCATCCATCCATCCATCCATCCATCCATCCATCCATCCATCCATCCATCCATACATACATACATACATACATACATACATACATACATACATACATACATACATACATACATACATACATACATACATACATACATGCATACTTACATACATACATACATACATACATACATACATAAATACATACATACATACATACATACATACATACATACATACATACATACATACACAGCCCTCAGAATTAGAGATTGCATTCGGCAATGCTGACCTAACTGCCAACCTAAACGTGATTGAAGTTTTTTTTGTTGGTTTGAATTTTTTTGGTGGCCTGATGCCAACCTCTTGGCAGTAAATTGCCAACCTCAATTTTCTTAATTTTGAGAGTGTATATATATATATATACATATATATATATATATATATATATATATATATATATATATATATATATATATATATATATATATATATATATATATATATTTATATTTATATTTATATACATACATACATACATTTACCTATAAATGCTTTGTCAGGAATAATAAAGATCAAGTACAGTGGTAGCCCGTTAAAAAAACAATCTTATGAAATTTATTAATCATCTTAAAAATCTTTTAACATCGTACTTAAAGAAATTTTTTTCACAATATCTATTCTAAATTAAAAGAATTAAAAAGTACCTTAAAATAAAAATAATTAAATAGATTATATTATATTATATTAGATACATCAAAAAGAATTAAAAGTTGCTCTTTCTGGCTATGGTGTTGAACTTGCTGTGAAAAGCACTGAGTACAAGGCTATTGATGACCAAAAAGTAGAGGATTTAAAGATGAAGGAAAGTGTTGTAGACGGAGCCGAAGATGATGAGGTGGAAGGATTTCTTTTCAAAAAATTGAGGTTTGTTAATTAATTCAGGTTTGTTAATTAATTTTTAATTAACTAATGATATAAAACAAATAATTCATAATTATAATAAAAAGTTTAATCTTCTTATGAAAATGAAAAATAAAAGTTAACAATTTACATAAAAATATTTCCGATGAGTTTTTTTATCATAAATAGTTATATAAGAGATTGAATTGTATTGTGTATTGGTTTTGGATTACTTTTTGGTCAGATTTTAGGTTTTTAGATTTTGGCCAGATTTACATATGAAAGAGTTGTACTGTAAACAAAGATTATATATAAACAATCCTCAGATTTAGGAAAAATGAGGTCATCAACAATTTGTCAACCTCAATCTTTTAGAGGTCCGCATCGGGTTGGCAAAAAAAAGTTTGATAAAAAACTGCCTTTTGATACATTTGTTATCATAAGGCAGTTTTTTGCTGACCTCAAATCAATGGCCCTAATTCCGAGGGCTGTATGTATTTATGTATGTATGTATGTATGTATGTATGTATGTATGTATGTATGTATGTATGTATGTATGTATGTATGTATGTATGTATGTATGTATGTATGTATGTATGTATGTATGTATGTATGTGTGTGTGTATGTATGTATGTATGTTTTCATAAACAAGACAAATTTTCTAATTTTTAAAACCATTTTTTTTAATAAAAAAAAATGTTTCGACTAACACTAGTCATCTTCAGTTAGGATTAAATATTTAAAATTTGTTAAAATACCTATAAAGGTGTTAAAAAAAACATTATATTTATATATATATTTAAATTTGTTAAAATACCTATAAAGGTGTTTATAAAAACATTATATATATATATATATATATATATATATATATATATATATATATATATATATATATATATATATATATATATATATATATGTATATATATATATATATATATATACAACGGGTGATGCATAATTAGTGACACAAAAATCAAAGCCTTATATTTTTAAAGAAATAAAAGAAAAAATAATTTTATTTTTAAAAAATAATAACACAGTAATTATTTTTTAAAAATTAGTTTTTGTAAATCGATTGAATGCCTTGATCGGCTATTAATCTCAATTTAGTTTTGATACCCTTCATAAGGGATTGTAAAAATGTCAAATCAATTTTTTTCAGACAGGCTTTGATACGCCGAATCAGTTGTTGCTTACTTATGGCCTCTTATCCACCCTCATACACATTCTGAGCCAATACTCCCCAAAAGTCTTCGATTGGCCTGGCTTTGGGGACATTAGGAGGGTTCATATTGACTGGCGCGAAGTTAATCATTTCATTCATCCACGATATTGTCTCTTTAGCTCTATGGGCACTAGCTAAATCCGGCCAAAATATGTAATTTAAATCATCGTGATACTTATCTATGAATGGCAACAATCGTTCCTCTAAGCATTCTTTGATATAAATTTCGGATTTTATTGCAGCCGAGGTTGATGACCGGAAGAGTGGTTTCGACATTCCACGCTCAGATAATGCGATCCAAACGAGAATTTTTTTCGGAAATTTCTCTTTTCCCACAAAACGAACATTTTCTGGACATTTTTCTTTGTCGTTCGTGTAATAACTGGCGTTTCCAGGCATTTCACCGCCAGCAAAACAAAAGTATTTTTCATTGTACAAAATTAAAATGCTTTGTTCTTTGTAGAGGTGATTGACGAGTTTTTGATTCTTTTTTGTGCCCGTAGACGTTGTTCATCATTGTATTTCGGTGTTTTTTCACGTTTCCAATATTTTATGTTCATTTTGGCTAATTGTCTACAAGTTGTTGCTTGATTTACGTTGAATTAACGTGCGAGCTTTCTTTGACTTACACCTTTTCGATTGTTGGTCAACCTTTTAAGTTTCGCTTTTTTTTCTTGAGTCCACGATGACAGGCGCTCAACCCAAAAGCGACTCAAACCCAACTCAAAACTCACGCTTTGGTCGCTTTTGGGTTTTTTACAAAAAAATTTTTGGCGCTTTTTTGAAGAGCTGCTCTTTCTTGGCTGTTTAACATTTTTTTTGGATAATTTTTTTTTTTAATAAAACTAGAATATTCAATTTACCAAAATAAATTTATATGGTTTAATGAAAAAGATTATATTACGAGCAAAACTAAGTTAACTTTTGTGTCACTAATTACGCATCACCCGTTATATATATATATATATATATATATATATATATATATATATATATATATATATATATATATATATATATATATATATATATATATATATATATATATATATATATATATATATATATATATATATATATATATATATATATATATATATATATATATATATATATATATATATATATATATATATATATATATATATATATATATATATATATATATATATATATATATATATATATATATATATATATATATATATATATATATATATATATATATATATATATATATATATATATATATATATATATATATATATATATATATATATATATATATATATATATATATATATATATATATATATATATATATATATATATATATATATATATATATATATATATTATATATATATATATATATATATATATATATATATATATATATATATATATATATATATATATATATATATATATATATATATATATATATATATATATATATATATATATATAACGGGTGATGCGTAATTAGTGACACAAAAGTTAACTTAGTTTTGCTCGTATATATATATATATATATATATATATAATATACATATATATATATATATATATATATATATATATATATATATATATATATATATATAATATATATATATATATATATATTATATATATATATATATAAAAGAATAGGTTAAAAAGATATGCAAAATATTTATAAAAAATAGCAGCTAAACAGAAAGTGTCATTTGTACATGGTTAACCAAACAGGCTTCGGTAGGAGTAAATGAGTATACAAGCTTTAAATAGCCCATCTAAATCCGGTCAAATCTTTTTTTATGAATGGAACCGATTGAAAGGTATTAAATGGAGTATTATTTTATATATCAGGTTTATTGCTGTAAAATATATTTAAATGTATTAAATATAGGGCAAGTATTAAAATGAAAATAAAATTAGAAGAAACCATATAATATTATTTTTATCTTACAAATAAATATATATAGTTATAAATTATTTATAAATATTCATTTTAAATGAATTAGCCCAAAATATCTTCAATTTCAAAATTTAACGCAGTTTCTTCACTTTCACTAAATATAGGTGTTTCCCATTCACTTTTACTACTTAAACAATGTTGTCTTTTTCCTCATTTACTATTGTAGCAGGTTGAAATATTGGATCAAAAATAGCTGTTCGCTGTTTTTTTGTGAAAATACCTGAATAACCTAACCTGGTAACCTAAATAACTTGATAACTTTATATCAGACAATTTATACTATAAAAATTAATTAGCAGTCAATGTTGATTATAAATGAGATATTCAATTTTTAATAACGAGTTATATATTAGTATACTAAATAAAATATTGCTTTTTAAAAAAAAACCAAGAAAGTAATGCAGAAGTATACAGGAAAATATGCACTACTTTAAACAACTTTAAAGTATGACAAACTAGTTTATCAATCAATTGCGGTAGTGGTGTAGTGGTAGAGCGCTCGCTTCATAAACGAGTGGTTTCGAGTTCGATCCCCACCACGTCCCTGGTAGTACCGCGCTCAACTCGTTTCTCCGCGCAGCGGCCTTGTTCGTCAAGGTTCGTGTTTCGGAGTTATAGAGTTGAGAGAGGGTTATAGCCACAAAATAAGTAGCCTCCTCGTTTGTAGTGGCCTTCTCGGCCTTGAGGAGGTGAAGTAAAATTAAAAAAAAAAAAAAAAAAAAATTGTGTGCAAAATGTGTGATTATGCAAAAAAGAAACTGTCTTTATTATCTAACAGTTCTTATTGTATAAGTTTACAAATTTCTAAAGAATACTGAAAACCCGGACTATTATGTTAAATTCTTTTGTAACACATGCATATTTTTCCTGCTTTATACATACTAAATATTTATTTTTTAACATAACACAGAATAATACGAAGAGTTATAGTACATATAATACAGTTATAGCTGTTTAAAATAACTCGTTCGATTTTTATTTTTTATTTTTACATTAGAATATTCAAAAGTTATTTTTTCCATAATTTTTTTTTAGCATATCCTTAATGAAATAGTTTCATTCATTAACTAGTAAAACAAACACTTTTACGAAATTACATCATTTGAGAAGTTTTTAAAAGAATAACTAAATAAAAAAATAAAAATATTTAACTTTATTTTAACAATAAATCATATTTTGTACGAGCTTTATTTTGCCTGTGTAAACTGATTTGCACAGGTGTGGAGGCGGGTGCAGGCTATAGCCCGCCATTCCTGTGGAAGCCTGTATTTATAACAAGAATAAACATATAATGTAATTTAACTGAAAATACTTAATGGGGTTTAAGCAATAACATAATTTACTAATTAGCTACATAATTCAATAGTCTTCAGTTCTTTTTTTTTTTGAATTTTAAGTAGTCACTTTAGCACTTTAAATTTCAATTTAAAAATATTTTTGTTATTATTAAACAGTTTTAAGATAACGCATCACAAAAACTTATTACTTTTATAGTATATGCAGTTAACCTTTTAGAAGTAATTCTTAACGGTTGCTCAATTATTGTAATATTAGTTTAGTGATACACTTTTACTCCATTTTTTATGATTTTTAGAGAAATTCATCCTGACTTGCAAGAACAATTACTAAAATTTAAACAACATCTTAAGGATAAAAATAAAGAGCTAACACCTCTCCACCAATGGGAGTTACAGGGTATTTTAGCATTAACTTAATTATATTTTATGTTTTGTTTTTTAAAAAGTGTTATAAACAAAAGAAAACTGGTTTCATATTTTTTAAGATTTGAGTTTTCAAGCTGCTCAGCGAGTGATGAGTGCTTCTTCACAAGATCAACTTAAACTTCTTAAAGATATAAGTCAAAATGTACCTATGATTGCAAGGTTTTCAATTTTGTTAACGATTTTATTTATAATTTAAATTGTTTTAAAATAAATAAAACTTTAAAAAATCTGTGTGTTTTGTTTAAACCATAAAAAATGACTGTAAATATCTGAAAAATAACAAAATGGTTTTATAAACATATTAATAAGCTTTTTTAATCTTAAGTATTTTTAAAATTGTTTTTAGATCACTGGTTAAAACAGCTGTGAATGAAAATCTTAGAAATGAAATTAAAGAAAATCAACAGGTAGTGATAGTAAAATTATATAAAACAAGCATATTTAAAAGCTGTGTGGAGTGTGTCCTGATTTTTTGTTAAATTTTGTTTGTTTTTATATTACTATTTGATGAAGATTTACAAGATAAACAATAAATATTCACAAGATGTTGCGCCATATGTTGCACCATTTGTTTTTTAATTTTAATGCAAATTCAATGTAGTGGTCACACTAGTTTTCACTAGTGGTTTTGTATGTACACTAGTTTTCAGTTTGTGATTTCTGTGGTTTGTGGTAAATATAAATATGCTTAAAGTAATTTAAGTCAAGCTTCTAAATTTGGCATAGTAAGCTGTCTTGAGTAATAATTTTGAAAATAAATTTAGGAAAGAGCAAAAGGGATCTGAAGACTATTTGAAAAACCTCAGCAATTTCAATCAGCATTACAACATTACAAAAAAGCTAATATTACAACGGTGAATATACTGAAGGAAAGTTCTTGGAAACTAAGAAGAAATAAAATATTAATTGGCAATTAATATTTTATTTCTTCTTAGTTTCCAATTAATTTTCTCATTCTGGAAATAGTGCACAAAGGCATATGGGGATGGGGTGGGGATGGGGTGGAGTGGAGGTGGTTCAATATACATTGAACCACCTCCATAATATACAATTGGTTCAATGTACATTGAACCAGTTATACATAATTATGTTCATACTAGTAAAAAGTAGTTATAAAAATAACTAGTTAAAAAAAAAATAATAAAAAAAATAATATAATAAATAAAAAAAAATAAATAAAAAAGTAACTAGCTAAAAAACTAGTTAAAAAAAGTATTCCTAGGTAATGTTTGTTTTTCTAATTTATCACAATTTAAAAAAAAAACTGTTATTTTTGAATAAATAACAGTTTAAAAAAAAAAAAAAATCATTACCATCTTAATGTTGTCCTTATTTGCCAGCTAATCAATAGAAAAGTTAATTTTCTGTCCCTAGGTAAAGCAGACATGTATTTTAGGGTTTTTAAGTCTTAACCCTTTATTCATTCAGCAAAAAACAGGTTTTAGGCTATTGTTTTTAATATTACTCATTTTGCGTTTTGTTTTTTCAGACTTGTTTATTAATAATTAATAAATTTATTTATTTAATTCATCCCTATAAAAATAATGTAGATGTGTGCACCTACTAAAATAAAAATTTTGTAAAAATATAAAATATTTGATATAAAATATATACTATGGCTCTATTTCTAGAGTGAAAATGTATCATCAACTAAAACCCAAATTTTAGGAGTCTTTTGTTGCCTCATTATTGCAAAGAATAGAGGTTGTTCTAAAAGTTTAATGAACTCATGTAAAGTAGTTAAAATTTACTCAAAATGACATAACCTGCAAAGTTACTTTGAACTGCAGAAAGTAAATTAAGTAAGTAAATTGTATAAATTTTCTATTTTAAACAGATCTAATAAAATATGCTTAAAATTAAAATTGCTTTAACCAAATAAAATTACTATTCATTTTTATTTTTTTGCTATTTTTGTGTATTGTTACTGTGTATTGTTACATTATCACGGTGAATTGTTACAGTTGTCGGGTGGTATATTCATAAAAAATTACCAGTTAGTCACCTGACTTTTATAATTCTTTTGAACCAATTAAAACCAAATTGCCAGTTAGTCACCTGACTTTTATAATTCATTTGAACCAATTAAAACCAAATTGCCAGTTAGTCACCTGACTTTTATAATTCATTTGAACCAATTAAAACCAAATAACTAATATTACACTGTTAGCTTAATTAAAAGTTTTAGTCTTTGTTGTTGTTGTTGTTATTTTTGTTGTTTGTTGTTATGAGCTTTTTTAAATAAAGTAAAACATTAATGTTTTACTTCAATTAAAAATACTCAGATTTGTAGTATCAAAAATTAAATCAGGTTGTATCTTTTTTTTTTTTATAACAATTTTACTGTTTAATTAAAACAAGTTTTTTCCTCAAAAGTTTTTAATCAAAAATATTTTATATAAGATCAAGTAAACAACTTGTCATTTTCTCCCTCCCAAACTCTTTAGATGATGGCATTTTTATACTTTTGTTACTTTAGGTTAGTGTTAGTTGTTTAATGTTACTCAAACTTTATTATAAGCACTGGTACTTTTCATGACCTCTCCCATTTATGCATTAATTGACAATGAAGGATATACATTATTTAAAATAACCTTATTTTATCAAATAAAAATTTTTATTTGATTTAATAAGAAAAATTATAGTCTAACAAATATAAACATATATATTCAGAAATATCCTTAAAAATTTTTTTTTGTCATTTTTTAAAATATATTACCAATTTAATATACCAATAGAATTTTACACTAAAACACAATTTTTGAAAGAATAGTTTAGTATTCATTAGGCAAAAGTTATTTTAATGTTTTAAAAGAATAAAGCAGAAGGAAAAAGAGCACAATTATATTAAAACATGTTTTTAGGAGTTTGAGAGTAGTCAAATATTACCAGGTGATGCTGCCCTTTATATTAATGGTATTAAAACATGTTTTTAGGAGTTTGAGAGAAGTCAAATATTACCAGGTGATGCTGCCCTTTATATTAATGGTATAAAACAGAGTGTTGACGATCTTGACATTTTCAAGTAATTTATTTTTAAAATTTTTTTAAAATTATTTTTTATTTTTAACCTTAGTTTTTGAAATATTACATTTTATAATAATTAGTGTTAATGAGTTATTGGAATCTGAAGCTATAGGATTGTCTGTGTTAAATCAACTAAGTCTTGATGTAAGTCTCATCCCAAAGTAACTTTTGGATTTTTTACTTTATTTATTCTGGTTTTGTTTGTTTTTTATATGAATTTTTACAGTACAATTTTTATATTCTTATCAGAAATGAGGTAATTTTGAGAACCTTTTATAACCATTATTAATTTCATACTCGCCAGTATTTTTTTTATTGATCAGTTTATTTCATAGTCACATTTAGTTTATTTCATAGTCACATTAATTTTATTTCATAGTCACATTTAGTTTATTTCATAGTCACATTTAGTTTATTTCATAGTCACATTTAGTTTATTTCATAGTCACATTTAGTTTATTTCATAGTCACATTTATATTTTCCTGTTTCATAGTCATCTGTACATTTTTTTTAAAGGTTCAGTTTTGTAAAGTAAAGATAAAATTTTTTTTTTATAGCTTTCTAAAACAAGCCAACTGCTAGCATTAAATTTAGTACCAGAGCATGAAAGTCTTATTCTTGACACAAGATCAGATGCAGTCCAGGTAATCAATTGATATTATATACAAGCTTATGTCATATACACTTGTAAAATAGATAAAAAATATTAACTTTGTAAAATCTGCATCATTTGAGTATCAGGTTTTGTTAAAAAGTATTGCACAGTTAGCTAATTAGGCAAAAGTAGCAGCAATTAGGTACAAGTATTATAGTTTACTGTTATAACCATAATTAACAGCAAGCAAAAATATTTTATAATAACCATAATATTAATAATCAAATAATAATAACCACAACTAAATTAATCGGTTACAATAACAAGTCTTTTTTTGAAGTCTCTTACAGAAACTGTTTTACACATAACATATCATACTTTTTACTAAGGACCAGATTTACGCAGTTACAACAATCCTCCACCTATGAAATCAGGATTTCTAATTGCTGATATAAAAATTGCTGAAATCCATTTTTCAACATAAAATCTGACATTTAGTTTGGCTAATTTCCATGCCAACAACGTTGGCATAAAAATTAACAAAATTAAACGTTGACAATGGATTTCTTTATTTTCTGTCTAATAAAGGTTTAGCCAGAGAAACTCCAGGTATAGAATGTAATGTTAGACAATACTAAGGAATACAGGAGCTGATTTTGATGTTAAGCACAATTGTGTCTTAACATCAATTTCTCAAAAGGTTTTTGACAAGTTCTTGAATTTTTGCACTATATAGTTTTACTTCAATCGTCAGTCGTCCATTCAATATTTGATGATAAGATGTCAAATAGATTTGTTTGATCCTATTTAAATACAAAAACTGCTAATATGCCTCACTGGAAAAACCCAGATCCATTGTCACTGACAATAACATGGGGTATGCCATAGGTTGCAAGCAATCTTCTGAGTATTTTATTTGTTGCTTTTGCTTCAGTACTACTAATGACTTCTACTTCTATTGACTTCGAATAACTGTCCACTACTACTGGAAATATTTTCCTATTCAATGTACTGAGATTGCATGGTCAATATGCAACCTTTCCCATGTTCTGCTTGGGTATTTTAGTGGAGGAAATTTAATTGTCCAATAAATACGCATCAAATAATAAACATAAATACAACACAATAAACGCAATGCCTTTGCGCGTTTATTGTTTAAGATTTCTGTGAGGTTTCATCTAAGTTAAGTTGCTGATAAGCTTGGAACAAGTCAAGCTTGGTATAGTTCTGTCCTAAATTATTTTAGCTAAATGCATCATTTTTATCTTTGTTGCCAATTATTATAATTACAATTAATGGCAAACTCAACCACTTTATAATAATCAGAATAACTTCTTTATAATGATCAAATAATAAGAAATAAAAATACTTTAATAACCAAGTCTTTGAGTAACAGCAACAGCAACTTTATTATTTTATTATTAAAATAGTAACTAATTTAAATTTTTTAAGTCAAGTTTACCAATATAAGAAAATTAATATAGTTTTATTAATACATAGTATACATACATCAATACATACATCAATATAATTTTATTAATACATAGTGTTAATAAAATTAAATTGAAAACTGTTATTAATACTTTTTCTTTGGTTTTGAAAATGCTGTGTTCAAATCATTAAAAAAAAATCTTTTTAATTCATAAATTCGGATTATACAGATCAACAGCTATTTTTTATTATTTATTCTATTATTTATTATTTTTTTCTATTAATTATTTGTGTGCCCATATTTGTGCATTTGCATGTGTATTTTTACTTTGGTTTGTGCATTTATGTTTTGGTTTGTGCATTTATATACTTTTTATGAACATATTTTAATTTTTATTTAAGTGGATGAATGATCTAGAGAAAGACTCTCAGTACCACTATTGGCCTTCACATCTCCAAGAGGTTTGTACTAATATTTAAAAATTCATATAATTTTATAAATAATGTTAAATAAAAATAATAGAATAAAAATAATAGAATAAAAATAAATAACTTTTTTTAAGAAAAAATTTCAAGCACAAAAGATTATTTAAATAAAAATTTACACTTTAAAATTTACGCTCAAAAAATACAATTTTAGTTTTTCACTTTTTTCTTCATACAAATAAACATGTAGAAAATTTCATACAAGCTTACAAATAAACTTGTAAAAATTTTTTTATTATTAGATTCAAAATATTGTTTAAAATGTTTTTTATTAATCCAAAATTTTGTTTTAAAAATCATATTAGTGCACCTTGACACAGTAAATGAAAAATTCAATTCAATTGCAAAAAATTAAGGAATAACAAGTTTATGTACCGCAAACCTTTTACTTGATTTAATTCAAATTTTGAATGTTTGTAAGAAAACTACTCTCAATAATTTGATACCAAAGGCTTAATCCACAAACAAGATAACTCTAGTAAAGCAAACTATGCAGGACCAACATAAAAGTATTTCATATGGCCATATGGCAAGAAGTTATCTTGTTTTTGTAAAGTGTTTTTTATCAGTTTTAAAAATATTTAGGAGTTATCATTTTGCTCAATATCTTAGAAGTAAGAAGTCCTGTTACTGCTGTAAAGTCAATTTTACAAAAAAGTGGAGTTATTGTTTGTGGATTAAGCTGTTGTTATGTTATCTTTCTCTGCATGCATTAATTGTATACTATTTATATACAATCCATTTTTCCAATCCAAAAATTCATAAACATTTTAATAACTTATATTTAAGTTTAATAATATTTTTTTTATGTAAAAAATTTTAAATCCTACTTAAAGATGCTACGACCAACCTTTCCTGGAATGTTGAGATATGTTGCTAAGAATATATTCCACGTTGTAAGTTAATTTTAATTAAATTATTTGTTATTAACATACTAATAAATATTTATTGAATCACAACTTTGAGTTTATTTAAAGGTTGCATTTGTTGATCCCTTGACTCATGAAGGAATTAAGTTATTAGAAGAATTCAATAAGTTAATAAGTCAATCAATGCCAGCAAGGTAAAGTTACATGAAGTTTTATTTAAAAAATAATTTTTTTTTTTATCTATTGACTAAAGATCTTACAATACTTAGCAATATTACTTTTTTATACTATTTTTTAATTTTAATGATTTTCAGGTTTGGTGTAGTTTTTGTGACCAAAGCTGGTTTAAGTGATAAAGCTGAAGATGATGCAAGTGCAGGTTTACTCAGAGCATTTTCCTTTATTAAGTCAGATAAAAACGTTAAAGATGCGTTTAAATGGCTAAGCACGGTAAGCAAAATGTTTTGTTAACAGTCAAATTTTTTAATCATTAGACAATTTGCTTCCACTAAGAAAAGTCTAAAGCAAAACTAAAGTTATATATTTAATATAACATTTATTATTTATTGAATTATGTTCAAGCCAAAATTTTGCAATCAAGACAACCCCCTCTTCAGCTCAGGGAATTGCAATTTTTATATGATCACCAATTTAAAATGCCAAAACATTATTTGATAAAAAAAAGTTTAACTTAAAATTTATTGATTAAAAAAAAAGTTTTAGTCATTATATTTCTTACATGTGTTTTGGTGGTGGGGAAAAAATTATCGGGTAATTTTGTTTTCAACCTCTGATGAGCTGTTTTATAAGGCATCTTCATTGACGGCAGTATAAACATACACTGGTTTACAAATAGAAAATTGCAATTTTGGAGATTATTTATACAATAGTTTTCAAAATTGTATACCAGTACTCAGGCTCTTTATATGTATGTATGTATGTATGTATGTATGTATGTATGTATGTATGTATGTATGTATGTATGTATGTATGTATGTATGTATGTATGTATGTATGTATGTATGTATGTATGTATGTATGTATATATGTATATGTGTGTGTATGTATGTATGTATGTATGTATGTATGTATGTATGTATGTATGTATGTATGTATGTATGTATGTATGTATGTATGTATGTATGTATGTATGTATGTATGTATGTATGTATGTATGTATGTATGTATATATATATAATTATATATATACATGTGTATATATTTATATACTCAAAATGTTGCTATTTTGAAAGTGGCATATATATGTGTATATATATATATATATATATATATATATATATATATATATATATATATATATATATATATATATATATATATATATATATATATATATATATATGTATATATGTATATATGTATATAAATATATATATATATATATCAGGTTTGGACAGGAATGGCGTGCGATCGCACTCTGACCATGCTAATGTTTTTATTTCTTTACTTGACCACGGCTATTTTTATTTTTTAACAATTTGAATGCAATAAAAAAAGTGTTACATTATAAATATCTTTTAATCGTTGATCTTTTTGTTGTTTATTTTTACACTTGTGTAAATTAATAAAAAATGTTATAAATAAGTTTTTTTTTATGTAGGCATTTATTTTTTATGATAAATTTAAGTGTTTGAAATTATTTTCTTATGTCTTCCTAAAACATTTTTAAACCGTTATTTTTGAAAGAATTTTTTTAAGTTACTTTAGTTTGTGAATAAGTTCAAAAGCTTTTGTGACTACAAACTTTTACACATTTTATGTGAATTACAAAAGAATATAAAATAACTTTATTTACTAATATAAGCATGTATTTTGTTGATATAATGAAAAAGTTTTAAAGCATTTTGTAATGTTCATAAGATTAATTTTTATGATTAAACTTACGATTTTTAAAAATGTTTGAAATAAGCATTTTGTTTTTTATAAACAATTTTTCTTATTTTATTTTATTTTCAATTTCGTTAGAAATGAGTTTAAATCTTTTATAATAATTTTTAAATTCGTTACGCGAAACGCTTTTTAATAAAGTTGTAATGCTCAAAATAAAATTAAATTAAAAAGCTTGTTGGCAGTTAATTTATTTAAATCGCAGGCGCATTTTATTTATTTTATTTTTTTTTTTCTATTTTTACGAATAAAAAAGTTCAAAACCTTTTTTTTAATTAGACTCACTAATTAGAGCATGAAATTAGTAAAAATTACTATTTTAAAAAGCCAACATTATTTTTTTTGCAACTTTTTTGACAAAATAAATTTTTATACAATTTAAAAATATTATATAAAACACTTTTTAATAAATTTGATAAAATTTGTTTTTTTATTAAACCAATCATTAGTAGTAATTTGTTACTTAATTTAAAAACGTTTTGTGTAACTTTAATAACGCTTAAAAAGATAAGTTTTAATAACGTTTATTTCATACGTAATTAAAAACGTAACTAAAAGTTTTGCTTTGAGTTTAAGTTTTTATTTTCATTTTAGAGCTTATATTATTTCTTTTTCGTTATGAATTTGTTTTTTGTTTCTTTTTTTGTTAGTAATTTTTTTTTCATTAGTTTTTTTTTTTTTGTTAGTTTTTTTTTAATTTTCCTAGTTTAAGTTTAGCTTAGCATTTCTACATTCAGAACATTTCTGAAATTTTTAACTTATCAAAACATATAAACATTGTTTATCAAACAATCGTGGTCAAGTTGTCAAAAAATAAAATCATTTGCTTGGTCAGCAATAGCGCTTGATCGCACGCCTTTCCTGTCCAAGCCTGATATATATATATATATTTATATTGGTGACACTGTAGCATCTAATATTCCATTCATTATAAGTTCAGGCTTTCATAGGAAGGCGTGCGATCATAGTCTTTATATGACCATGCAAATTACATTTTGCTATGACAAATTGACTGTGGCTAATTCAATAAACATTTTAAAAACACGCTAAATGAAAATCATTCTGAAAAAGTGAAATAAATTGCATCAAAACTTCGGAATAAATGTTTTTATATTAGCAAAATGCTTTTAAATAAAGTAACTAATTTACTAATAATGGTTTTTTTTTTTAAATATATTTGACAATTGTATATATTTTTATTAATTTATTATATATAAGTTGTTTAATGGTGCATTTCTATAATAAATGTTATTAAAAAATAAAAAATTATTTTGTTTTTATAAATGATGACATTCTACGACAATGAAAGTCTCTTTAATGAATTTTAATATAAGAATAATTAAATTTTTTAGTAATTTTACTGTATATGTAAGAACAGATTATTTGGCGTTCAATATAGCTTTAAACATTTCATACTACAGGCATGTTCAAATTATTAGACTAAAATTTTTTTCTCATATAACGCACACATATAGCGTACGTAATATAAAAAAAAAAACTAATTAATGCTTATTATATGGAGCCCCTTGGCTTTAATAAGCATATTAATATGGCTTGGCACTTTCTACCAGAATTTTACAAATATTTTTGAGGTCTTTGTCTTGATGCCATATTTGTATCAGTTTTTCGATGAGTTGCATTTTGGTGGTAGTTGTTTCTTACTTGATCTTTTTCTTTACAATAGCCCACAAATTTTCAATGGGGTTCATGTTGGGACTATTTCCTGGCCATGGCAATGTCTTGATCCTGCTCTGCTGAAGAAATTCTGTCACTTTTTTTGCTTCATGACATGGAGCCCTATCGTGCATAAAAATTACATCTCCTTCTGGATACCATGTCTTAATTTGGGGCATTAACCTATTTTGTAGCACTTTAATATATTATACATAGTTCATGGTGCCTTCTATGATGGACAACATTCCCGGTCTCCGTATTGACATGACGCTCCACACCATAACAGACGTTAGATGCATGTCACTCTGGCTAACATACTCTTAACCTTGAACTCTTCTCCTGGTCTTCTTCGAACATATTGGCTCTGTTCTTCCATCACCAAAAAGATGGATTTATTGCTAAAACATACCTGGATATAAAATATATACAAATGAATACACAAAAACACTTTGCATCAAATTTGAGAGAATCTTTAGAAAGAAAAAAAAAATTGCCTAAATTTTTTTAGAATTCATCTTCATATTTAAAATAAATTTTTATATCAAATATTAAGTGAAAACTCTCAAAACGACTTTAAATACAATTTTTGCATGTATTTTACCTTACTCCAGTTGTAGATAGACATGTTTTCATGAATCACGGAACTCAATCACAGAAAATAATTTTCTTAAATCTCTAGTCTAATAATTTGAACACGTCTGTAATGTGAATCAAGAATGTTTCTAAAAATTTTTTTCTTTGTTGCTTTTTTTTTTAAGAATTGTTTTTTTCTTTTCTAGTTGTACCGGAATAGTGGTAATGAACCCCCAAAACCTTCAGGTGTTATTAGCTTATTGCAGTCTTGGTATGGAAAAAGTGAAGCTTCAGATGCTTTAGATCCAAAGTCCGATTACGATGATTTAAGGAAGGTATTACAGAAGGATTTTTTATTTTTATTAGTATTTGAAAATTTGAATTTTTCTTATTCTCATTTCAAAAAACAAGTCAACATAAGATAAATAAATTAATTTTATTTTTGGAGTCATTTTAATAGAAATTCATCTTTTTTAAGGAACAGCTTTTTATATATCTTTTTGAGTCTTTTTTTATTAAGTAACCTAAAACTTTTAAAAGGAACAAATCACATTTTTAATCACAAATATTCTTAATATTAATTATTATTTGAAGACCTCAGTGGAAAAACCAGCATTGTCACATTTAAAAAGTTTTGAGAAAGTATTTATTGATCATTGATAAAAGTGTTTATATAATGCAAAAAAAAAAAAAGAATTTTTTAAAAATTTTTAATGAAAATTATAAAAATTTTATTTTTAATTTTAAACTTAAAATAATTTTAAACTTAAAATAAATTTAAAATAAAAATTTAAATAATTAAAAATTAAAATAATTTTAAATAATTAAAATAAATTTAGAAAATTAAAATAAATTTAAAATAAAAATAATTTTAAACTTAAAATAAATAATCAAAATTTTTTTTTTCATATTTCTAGTTTTCTTTAATTTATATAAAGACTTTTAATAATGATCAATAAATTCTATCTCAAAATTTTTTAAATGTGACAATGGCAGTTTTTCCACTAAGATCTTTATTTATATTAGAAGAAAACTAATTTAAATTTTTTTTTTAGATTTCTAACAAATTCTTCAAAAAGATTGGTCTTAAAACACTACCATCGATCCTTGTAAATGGAGAGACACTTTCGAAGGAAGAGGTTTTAATTTATTTTATAAGTTAATCAAATATTGTGTAATATTTTTTATTATATGCTATGTTAATTTTGAAGCAATAGTTAGTTTAGTGTGAGATGTGAGTTTAGCGTGAGATGTGAGTTTAGCGTGAGATGTATCTTAGATGTTCAGATTAATGAAAATAAGAAAATATAATTTAATCAAATGAATTCTTTAATTAATTTGCTACTGTGTTTTTATAATATATTTTTCAAATTGATCAAACCAGCATTAGACATATCAAATTGATATTTCTAATGCTGGTTTAATAAGCTTATTAAGTTTATTTATCAAATTGCTAAAATAATCAATTAGCAAACATTTGCAATAACTACTTTATCACAAACACCACTTTCAATAACAGCAGTCCTATTGTATCTAACTGATACTAATTACTAGGTTATCACAAATGTCACTTTCAATAACAGCAGTCCTGTTGTATCTAACTGATACCAATTACTAGGTTATCACAAATGTCACTTTCAATAACAGCAGTCTAGTTGTATCTAACTGATACCAATTACTAGGTTATCACAATTGTCACTTTCAATAACAGCAGTCCTGTTGTATCTAACTGAAACCAATTACTAGGTTATCACAATTGTCACTTTTTTTTTTTTTTTTTTTTTTAATTTTAATTCACCTCCTCAAGGCCGAGAAGGCCACTACAGACGAGGAGGCTACTTATTTGTGGCTATAACCCTCTCTCAACTCTATAACTCCGAAACACGAACCTTGACGAACAAGGCCGCTGCACGGAGAAACAAGTTGAGCGCGGTACTACCAGGGACGTGGTGGGGATCGAACTTGGAACCACTCGTTTTTAAAGCGAGCGCTCTACCACTGCACCACTACCGCATACCACCACTACCGCACCACTACACCACTACCACACTACCCCACCACTACACCACTACCGCACCACTACCGCACCACTACACCACTACCGCACTTTCAATAATAGCAGTCCTTTTATATCAAGTTGATATCAGTTATGCTTGACTTTTTTAACAAACTAATAAGATTGTAAAGAAAAGTTGTTTAATCTTTCATGTTAAGGTGGAATTCGAAAAATAATAAAGAAAAGTGGTTTAATCATTCATGATAAGGTGGAATTCGAAAAATAATAAAGAAAAGTAAAGCTTAGTCTTATCTCAAAAAATCATGTACATTAATAATGTTAATAATGATATAACGTTAATTAATGATAATAATTTGTGTTAATCTAACACTTTGTGAACTTAATTTTAATTTTGGTGTTTTGTTATTTGTAGATGCAAGATCTGGAATCATCCGTAACTGAAAAAATATTATCTCAAACAGCTGATGTGCAACAGGCTATTTATAATGTAATATTTATAATTTTATATTTTGTAGCATAATTTATATTGCATAATTTCAATTTTTTTTTATTTTTATGTTTTATAGGGCAACCACCATAATTATCCTACTATTTATGATTATTTAATGTCTCAACCAAATGTTGTGGTTCGTTTAAACTCACTTATACAAAATACAAAGGGAAGTTATTTGGAAATGTTAAGTACAAGAAAAGGTTACAATGATTCAAATTTATGAAAGAAAATTAAAATTTAAAAATTTACTTTCTTTCTGGTTTCTTATTAGAAATTCACTTTCTTTATACTCTCTTTTAAAATATTTTTTCCTCGCTTTTCATATTATTATTTTTTTAATGTAAGTATGTATGTATGTATGTATGTATGTATGTATGTATGTATGTATGTATGTATGTATGTATGTATGTATGTATGTATGTATGTATGTATGTATGTATGTATGTATGTATGTATGTATATATGTATTTATATATATATATATATATATATATATATATATATATATATATATATATATATATATATATATATATATATATATATATATATATATATATATGTATACATGTTTACATTTTTATCTTTGCGCACTTATCTTTGCATGAAACATTTCTGGCATCATGCTGAAATAGGGAGCCGCGGGGGCTTTATTACATACATCAACTAAGGGTTAAAAATGTAAAGAGCTTGTGTTAATGTAAACCAACTTCATGACACAACTAAAATTGTTTTAATTAATAGATTAAAACATTATCGTCATGAAACTTCATATTTGTGCAAAAACATGCTTATAGACCATACGATTCTATAAATCTACAGACCAAAGTAGTAATTAAAGCAAAAAAAAAATTAGATACCACGTTTTTTATAATTTATTGTTTCTTGATCTAGTGTACTATTAAAAATTTAAGTATAATTAGGTTTTTTGTTCAAATGGTTTTTAAATTGATGTTTTCATTCAATTTTTTTATTCAAATTGTTTTCCAATAATAAGTGAAACAAAAAAATTTGGTTAAATAAATCGAATTATATTAAGTATAAGAATATTCTTAAATTATTAAAAATTTTTTTTTTTTTGAACAGACGTCAAATAATTTATTAATTTTAATTTTAATTTTTGTAATACTGGTTTAATGTTTGCAATAGAATGTTTCTACTTTTAAAACTATTTTCAAGAAACAATATATAATTAACTATTCAAATTATTTAAGAAATTTACGATTTATGAAAAAAAAAAATTCTTTTTCATTCTTCCTTGTTTCTTCAAATTTTTTAAAAATTTTCCAATGTTTTTCCATTTCAAATTTCAATCGCAAATTTATTTGAATAAGAGAATTTTAAAAGATTAAATTATTTTATTCAAAATTATTTTGTTCAAATTTTTTTTAAATAAAATTTCTAAAAACAACTTGTGTTGTTTGTGACGTTAGAATAATAGGGTTCTATCTCCCTTTTGTACTGTTAAGAGAGTTTAACAAAATTTGTTATACTCTTTTCAATGTTTAAAGTTAAAAGTAAAAATTTGTTAAATTTGTTAAGTTAAAGGATCAAAATATCAAATTAGTTAAATTTATTGCTTAGAATACATTATTTATTATTTATTAAGTAACATAAATTAGTATAAGACAAAATAGCTTATCAATAGATAAAAATAATAAGGTTTTCTAAGTTTTATCCAAATCCAAATTTTTATGGTAAAAAAACTTAATTTTCTGTTTTTAATTATAGTATTATTTTATGCTCAAAATGGTATAATTTTAATATTCTTTTATTATTATTTATATTACTTTAAAAATTGTTAGTTTTTATTTTTTTATTGTCAATTTTAACTTTATTTTATAAAGTTGAAGTTAACAATTAATTTCTTGTCAAGCAATTTAAAAAATTATGAAATTAATAATGTAAGATAAATTATAAAAAATAAATAACATAAAAAACATTTATTTTATTAATATAAACAGCAATAACTGTAAAACATTTAAATAATTAAAAATCGAAAGTTAAATTCTTACAACATTAAAAAATGAAGATAGAACCCTATTATTATAACGTCATGATTTATAAAAAATATAAAATCTTGATATCGCTTTAAATAAAATGAAAATATAAAAAAATGGTGTCGTGTTTTTCATATTCTATTCTAAAATTTTTGTTAAAATAGTTTTTATGTGTTAATAACATGTAAGATATAAATAGAAAAATTTGTATGGCTAAATTTTGCGAGTCTTTGAATATATTGAGTATATTAATATAGTTAATAAGTTTGAGTAACTGTAAGTTACTATAATAACTCAACTGGTTGTTTTGATTTAGTTCATAAGTAAATTTATTACGAAGTACTTTATCCATTTAGTAAATCAAACTAAATATAACTTTAAAAGGTTCAAGGTCGTTAAAGCGAAAAACGTTGAAGCAAAAAAGTTACTGGTTTCTATTAGAAACGAATTAATATATATTTTAATATACTTAAAGTAGTAAATTAATAATATAAAATTGAGGATAAAATAATAATTTAAATTACTATTAATAAGTTAAAATGGTGCAATGTTTTAAAAGATAAAAAGCAGGCTGTTTTGTTAAAAAAAAAGAAAACATTCTCGTTAACCTCTTATTTCTCTTCAATTTTTCGCTTTTAACAACCTTTTAAAAAATAATAGGCTTCCACGCAGAGATTTAAGTAGTTTAAATTTAAAAGTAATTTACTTTAAATGAAAATTTCCGTGTGAAAAAGCAAATAATCTATTCAAAAGATAAATATAGTGTGACGTACTTTATGACAAAAATATTACTTTTAAGAATTGCCAAAAAAAATGCTAATTTAGAACAAAAAATAAACAACAAAAAAAAAGCAAAAAAACAAAAACATTTTAAATTAAATTAGATTTTTAAATTAAAAAAAAAACAAACTAATCTCTAAGGTGTAAAATTCGCAATCGCAATATGCTTAATTCAAGCCCTGTATATAATCATTTTAAATCAAGGTTAAAGTGCGCAGAATATATATGAACTCAAGTCTAACACAAATGTTAATGCTGTTAGCTAATCTAAAATTTTTTTTCAATTCAAGTACTTTTTTTGTTTTACCTGAGTGTACATATATCAAATGATTTAACCATGGGTGCACTGAAGTGTATATAGATCGACTGCAGGCTCAAAATCCTGTATAATATATACGTATAATTTGTTTATAATAATATATTATAATTTATTCATAATAATATATAATATAATTTATTCATAATAATGTATAATATAATTTATTCATAACAATATATGTATAAGTAATTTTTCCTAGAGTTCACCACTGATATTTCATTACTTTCCAAAGAAGATGCATCTAGTTTCTTTGCTGAATCAGCACAATATTTTATTCAGGATTCAGGTGTTCATTTCTGTATTAATCATGTTAAATTTTTGTTTTTAAAATTTTAATTTTTTGTCAAATTTTACTTAAATGTTGTACTGATTTTGAATACTATTTAACAGGAGCCACAACAATATGGGTAATAGCTGATGCAACCACTTCTCATGGAAAAAGTCTTGTTATAAATGCTCTTAAATATGTGGTAAATATTTTTTTTTTATCTTATTCTTTGAAGATTTTTTAGAGATACTGAAAATACTTTTGATATATTGAAGTTTCTTTTGATATATATTTTTTGTATCAATTTATGGTTTTCTGTAAACAGTGTATGTAGTGTATATGCATATATATTACAAAATAAAAAAATTATATTACAAAATAAACAAATAGGTATTTCCATTTTATGACTTGTATTATTTTGCCTTTTTGTTTCTATGTTGTATCTTTTTTAGCAAAAACAAAAGAATGCTCGGCTAGCACTATTTTTAAATGGAAAAGAATCAGATGAAATTACATTGAATGATGCACTCTTGATAATTTTTCGCCTTAGAAAAACATTAATTTCTGGTATTGCTAAATTTGCTGTCAAGTTTTTGGAAGAAAATGATTTTAAGAAAATAATTGAAAATGAAGATGAATTAGAAAAAATTGCTACTGGTATTACTGTAAGTTTTGAAATTAAAGTATATCTATTTAATTAATTCATTTTATATTTTTTCTGCAACTGTAACTTGAAGTAACACTTAGAATCTGGCTAATTTAGACTGGGTAATGTAGATTGGCTAATGTAGACCCTCTAATGTAGACTAACTAATGTAGACCAGCTAATGTAGACTGTCTAATGTAGACCCTCTAATGTAGACTAGCTAATGTAGACTAGCTAATGTAGACTGTCTAATGTAGACTGGCTAATGTAGACTGGCTAATGTAGACTGGCTAATGCAGACTAGTTAATGTAGACTAGTTAATGTAGACTAGCTAATGTAGACTGGCTAATGTAGAATTTTATTAGTATGCACTAGAGAGAACTTCAGGTTTGATTTACTATAAATAAATTTTGTGCTAACTTTTAATGCAAAAAGCAACACACCAAGGACATAATAAAATTTAAAAATGTTTGATTCACCTAAACTTATGATTAATTTTTAAAAGTAACATTGAAAAGTTGCGGTTATATTTGATTTATAATGCTTGCCTCAGAGAAAGCTGTTCTTATTTTCATAATTATGAGAGCTTTTTTTAACTTGGAAACAAACATAAAAATGAGCTTTGGAGTTAAAAATGTAAGAATCAAAAAGTTTATAGCTTCGATTCATTAAATACATAATATCATTTTTTTTTTTGTATACAGAATGTTTTATTTCAGAAATTCTTTTAAATATAGTCAACAAAAAATTCCATTGCTTATTTATTTTAGTAATAATTATGTTTCTTAGAAACTTGTTTATTATTTTTCAAATAATTTGTATTAATTTTTTTGGTGTTTTTTCTGGAATTGTTGGTGATTTTTTAGTGAAATATGTTTAGTTGGTCTATCAATAGTGTATTTAGAAATATTGTGTTTGTGTTTCTTTGTTTTTTACATGGTCATAACTTCTAAACGTTAAATTATTTTTTGATGAAATTTAAAATTCTATTTATAAATTTTGATACTGAATAAAAAAATTTAATATTGTAAAATATATAGTTAGAGGTAGTAAAAGTAGTAAGAGATGATATTGACATAATGGTTTCATCTCTGTCTACTGATTCTGCTTCTGTCTACTGATTCTGCTTCTGTCTACTGATTCTGCTTCTGTCTACTGATTCCATCTCTGTCTACTGATTCCACCTCTGTCTACTGATTCTACCTGTCTACTGGTTGTAATTAATAAGATTTAGGTATTTTTACTGTTTAAACACTTCATTAATTAAAGTATGAATTTTATTGTTTTTTTACTTCTACGCCCTCATACTCAATGCTTTTAATTTTCTTGAAATTTATAACTTATTATTAGTTATAACTTTTATCAATTTTTTAAAGTTGTAAACTAGTTATAAAATTTGGTATTGGTATTGGTAGTGGTGTTGTTAGTGGTGTTGTTAGTGGTGTTGTTAGTGGTGTTTGGGTAGAATTTTTGTTTCCAAAGTAAATTTTGTAGTGGTGTTGGGGTAGAATTTTTGTTTTGTAAGTAAACCTTTTTGAAATTAAAACAAAAAATGTTTGAAATGTTTGAAAAATTAAAAATTTGCATAATATTTTAAATTTAATAGTATATAGTAATATAATATTTTAAATGTAATAGTATTATTTTTTCAATATCAATTAATATCAGTCAATTAGTTTAGCTAATTATATCTGCTAACTATTCTAATTATGCTAAAATATAATAAAATAATGTAGGTAAAATATCACATGATATAATATATATATATATTTTTTTATTTTATACACAGGGCATAAACAAAAAAAGACTGTTTGAGCTTTTTTCATCCAAAGATGATCTCGAAAAAGTCAAACAAGATATTAAAAGAAATACTGTTGTTATAAACAATGTTTTCGGAGGATATGAAAGCTTAGTTATAGCAAATGGAAGGGTAAATTATTTTTTGTTACAAAAATAAGTCTTTATTTAATTTTGTTTTTATTACCCTAAATCATATTTTTCAAAATTAGATCATTGGTCCTTTGAGTCAAGAAGATGGTTTCGTAGTCGATGACTTTCAACTACTTCAAAATTTTGAAAATAATAGAGGGGGTTATAAAATATTGGAAATAGTAAGTAAGACATTAACAATTTATTGAAATATTAAATAACTATTTTTTACACTGTTTTAATTATTTTTAGATTGAAAGCATGAACTTACCTTCACTTCCTTCAGAAGGACATGCTAGGTTTATTTTAATTAAAGCTTTTATAAAATAATTTGATAAATTAAATGAAAAAGTAAATGGCAGTCAAACAAACAGCTCTTTTGTCAAAACACAAAGTCCTCATCTATGCACATTAAATATATCAATCCTAAGTCAAAAAATGAAATTATACATTGATCTTAAGTTAAAAATAGAAAAAAAGTTAAAGAAAGAAAGTTTTTGAATAAATAATTTTACAACTTGGGTTTTAGGTTATAGTAAATATTGTATCCCCTTACAAATTTATAAAATAAAATATGTACAACACAGGATTTGTTGTACTCTATTGAAAAAGATAAATTCTTATAAATGTCATTGTTTTTAAAGATGAAATTAAAAACTTATATAGTTACATCAGTCATATAGAATACCAGCAATATTACAAAAACAACATTGTTTTACATGGGGACATTTTAATAAATAAGGCCTCTGAGCAGTAAAATAAGTTAAACAAGTTCTGCCATGGGCGCACTTGCTGAACTAACTTTTGGTTGATAAAAAATGAATTTTTCTTTTATGCTTTAAAAGTTTTTTTATTTACTTTTTAAAAGTTTTTAGAATTTAAATCATTTTATATTATTATAATAATTATTGTTTTTATTGAATTTAAAGTTTCAAATATTCAAATTTAATATCATTGTTTAGCTAAATTCTTACATCATTGTGATAAAAATGACTAGACAACACTCATAATTTTTTTTTTTAATCAAGGTCCTTTATTGCAGTGCTTCTTTAGGCCACCTGTACCTTGAAATCTCTGAAATTTTTAAATAAAGGGAATTTCCAACTTGCTGACAAGTGAGTCCAAAAGCATCACCTTTCTCTGTGCAAAATCGTGTTAAATGCATAATAAATTGTAATTTATTATGCATTTATAACTATTTTTATATTATATTTTTATATTATTAAATCTGAACCACAAGCTATAATTATAGCTTGTGGTTCAGATTTAAAAAAAGATTTAGTTCAGATAAAAAAATAAAACACGCCCTACTGGTTTATCAGGAAAGGATGTTACAATTTTTTGGAAGATTTATTTGGAGACCCTGACATAAAGCAAACATTATATGTACACAGTTTTTCCTTTACATTTTTTTAACCTAAAATTTGTTCTGCCTCATAGCGGTGGGTTTTTATCTCAATTTATTTTATTAGGCTCTTACTGGGTAACTACCAACAGTTTTGTCAGATGTTATTGTGGGTTCATTCTTGATTTTGAATTTTTATAATTTGTTCAATACTGATAATTTTTGTTACTCAAAATTTTTTAATATTTAGATACAAAAGCGATTTAGTGATGAAAATATCTGCAGCATTGAGTAAAAGAAAAGATCAAAAGAGATCAACTTTCACTTTTAAAAAGGATCAGCACAGGTTACTTTTACGTTTTATGTTAGTGCTTATTCAACATGTCAATAGACGATGATAAGCGCTCATTACAACAGATGATCAAGTGTATATAACATGCTTCCTTCTAAATAAGTTAGCATAAAAGTCCTTAGAACATTCTCAGGAATCATGTACTGCTACACTGGTACAAATTTATGGGGACTGGGGAGGAACTATGATAAAACTTATTTAATTGCTGCTTTTCTGCCTAAAACTTGGAAAGCAGCAATCAAATAAGATTTTCGAATGATGCTTGTCTGAAAATAATAAAGGTTTAAATCTCTAGAAAAGATTGGGTAGATTCATTGTAGTGAACTTCATTGTAGTAAATATTAAATGTTGAGTTATCTAGATATTCAAGTATTATTTATATGTTATTATGTTTATAAATAAACATTTATATATACAACAAAATTTATTTTATTGATTAATATTACCTAATAAAATTATTTTTTTTTTTAATCTTTTTTAAAAAATTTGCTCTTGTGCCCACTATTATTTTATTTTTAAATTTTTAGTTTGTTTAATTATTTATTATGTATTTTTCATGCATACTTTTTATAATAGTATTTCTTTATAGTGTTATTAAGTTGAAACCAAGAAGAAATGATGTATCATTTGACATTGATGTAATCCTGGATCCTCTTTCTAAAAGTAAAGTTTTTTTGATTATTTTATGAAGAAAAAACTCCAAGTCACCATTGCTAAATATCTAAGCCATAAGTCCACAGTATTATTAGAACCATAGTACCAATATTAAAGCCACCACCATTTAGATTAAAAATGTTGCAAGCATTTTTAAATTTTCTGATGATAATGTTAATAATGATGATGATGATGTTAGTGATAATGATGACGATGATGATGATTATGATGATGATGATGATGATGATGATGATGATGATGATGATGATGATGATGATGATGATGATGATGATAATGATGAGGATATATTTTTTATAAATATTTTTTTACATATATATTATATGAATGTAGGTGCACAAAAGTTGGTACCTATTGTTATGGTTAGTCCTTATTGTTGTTCTTAGATTTATATTATAAAATTATTGTATTTAGTTACATATAAATTTTTTTTATAGGGTTAGATATGAGCAATTATTAAAAAACATATGGGCAGTAATTCTTTAAACATTTTACTTATTTACATTTCACTCAATTACAAAATAAAATGCATTAAAAAAAAAACAATAATTTAAATATTAAACAATCAAATGTGGTAAATATGTTTTTTTCTAATGATGTTTTATGTATAATTATATATCATTATAAAGTATGATACACATATATGGTATGATGTGTATGAAACTTTATTGTAGATATTAGTAATATGTTACTAATTATGTTGCAACACTTTTTGTGCTGTCAAACGAGTGTTGGCTTTATAAAGCCAGAATTTATTTTTAAAAATGCAGAATTTATTTTTAGAAAGAGTTAATATTAAATGAATTTTTTTATACAGAGGTACATAGATAACGAAAGTTGAATTTTTTGGAACAAGTAAACAAAGTGAAAATATTTCACTTTTACTTCACTAAATAAGAGTATATTTCAACAATTAATATTTTAAAATAAGCTTTATTTTTACTTTTAAGTTAAATTGTTACTAAACTGAACTGAAGAATAAATAATGCTAAATTATGTTAATTAAGTTAGTTAAGATTATCCGCAAAATAAAAATTAAAATAAAATAAATATTGAGTGTAAATATTTTTGGTATGTATTTGTTGGTATAAGTTTATATAATGTCAATATCATAATAGAAAAATCTGAAATTAGAGGCCCGTAAGGGCCTCTAATTTCAAATTTTTCTTTTTTTTTTTTTGAACATTATTTAACATTATATTGAGTAAAAGCGAGTCAAACCAATCATACTTTTTTTTCGATAAATAGTTGAAAGGTTTTAATAAAACCGTAACTGATAGGATTATTAAAAAAAATAAAAACACCAAAAGAAAGAGAATTATCTCTATTCAATGGTGTCAAAATAAAATCAAATTTTCAGTCATTTTGTTTATATAATGTTTTATATATATATAATTTGTTTATATTTTATTTTGTTTATTTGCTATTGTAATAACTCAGGAACCATAATTTGTTTAAAAATAATTTTACCCCTATCTTGTAGAAAAATTTAATCCTTTTGCATCCTCTGCGTTGTTTCAATTTAAAACTAAATTATGATAAACCATGGTTTACTAACAAAATTTGTGCAAAAGAAGTACAATTTTATAAAAATTTTAAAAATAATAATCATTTTATATAAAGATTACTAGTTTCAATTTTATGGCTTAAAAACTATCATTTTTTAACAAAAAATATAAAAATAAATATTTTTATAGTTTTTTTTTAAAAAACTTTTTAAATTTGTTTTATTATTTTTAAAATTTTTATTATTTATAAAATTTCACTTCTCTTGAGACCCAACATGACATGCTTTAAAAGAACTTTTTTTTTCAAAATATTAGGGACCCATCTGATGTTTTTTCAAGGGTCTTGAGCAACCCCTAAAAATTTTTTTTATTTAAAATTTTTTTTAATTTAGTGTTAATTTATTGCATAGAACACATTTAGGGGGTGTTATCAGACATTTTCAAAAAATGTTGTTTTATGACACACCCTAATGTAAGGTCAGCGTGGTTGTCCCTAGTCAAAAAATCCATGTGACACTTACATTATTTTTAATGAGTATTTTTTTATATAATTTACTTTTACTTTATTTAAAAGAAGATGAAATATACATTCGTTATTAAAAACAATACAACTGTATATTTTATTAGTTAAGTTTGTTTTTAGACATTATATGATGCATTCAATGTTAACTTGAAAATATTTCTAAACTGTAAAGGGCAACATTCAGAGCTACCTGTAAATAGGTATGTACTATCATGTTTTTAAATGCCATATATATTAAATTCTAAATACCACATACCCAACATGTTTTTAAATATAATAATTTTTCATGTACAATCATATTTTTAAATAATTAATAAATAATTTATATATATATATATATATATATATATATATATATATATTTTATATAAATAAAATATTCCATTCTCAACTTGAATAAATAGCACTTGAATAAATAGTAAACTTTTGTACAGTGAGCCAGAGATTCTTGTAAATATTTATACATAAGTACAACTTTTTTTGGTTATTTAAAAATAGTGCAGGATAATACTATAATAGTACATCATGATGCTACAGTTTTTTGTCAATATAACATATTTGATATGCTATTTTGATAGTAATGCAGAATAATGATTTTCTGATTGATATTTCTTTTGACTTTTATATGCTGTATAGAAGTAAATCAAAAAATCAAATTTGCTATCAATCCTAGGTAATTCGAACTGTGACATTTTGCTTTGTATTATCATGCCATGTCTGGCTTTGTGGCCACAAACTTTGGAAGTGGCTGCAATTATATCTTTAATTGCCTTTTCTCTAACTTGTGAATGGTACAGTATATGAAGCAGTATAATTGGTTGGTCACAAGTAAATTGCTCATTAGAAAGATGAGACAACAGTGGTGTTGATGTAACAGTACATTGTTTCCAATTAATCATATCAAAGTATTATTGTGCTGCTAAACTCATAATAATGTTGTTCCTGTCAAATGTTCGTATTCCATCTCTTATTACATTTAGACATGCTTCAATGATTTTATCAACAGCAAGCCTCGAATCATTTGATTGCTATCAATAACAGCACCAGAAAAATGTTTTCTGGATGTAAGAATTAGCAATTGTTTTTCAGTGCAGACAAGATAATTGATCTGCTTTATCCAGTTCCTGGTACGACTGCAAGAAGTAAGACAAATTTGTGGGACCATTTTGACAAGAAGAGTTGCATTTAATGCGAAATCATAAAGACCATAAACATTAATGATAAACCTTGTTGTTCTTGTTAAAGATTTGGATGAAACATCTTTTGACATATATAAATGTAAAATGATGTTGGATTTTGTTAACCATCTTGAATAATTTAAACATCCTGAGTGACTGTTTTGAAGAAATCGGATCTATGGACTTGATTCATAACCAGCTTGTACTGCTAAGCATGTCTTTAGAAATACAATTGATTCCAACTTGGGTCTTTTTAAATATTTTTTTCAGTATCCCCAACCTTTCTTAAAACTGGTAAGAAATTAGCTATAGGCAAGTTTTTGTGATCATAGTCATGAACTGATGCAGTTAGAAAGGACCTGTAGTACCATCTACTGTTGCAAAGTACTTTCTAAGAGGGAACTCATTAAAATCTAGCAAGCACACAAGCCATTGCAAGAGCCTTCCTCAACTCTCTTCTAACTTTTTGATAATTCTGTTTTTTTTTCCAGTATTATTATTGGTGCCATTACATAATAAAATTGAAAGGCTTTCTGTTAAATTTTACAACATCATGTGATTTACTACTACTAGGTACAACATGATCTATATAGCTATCTACAGAAAAATTACATAATGTTCTTTTTTTTTTTTTTTTTTTTTTAACATCTTCACTTCCAACAAGGCTGCAAGCAACCACTATAAGAGTTGGAAGTTACTGGAAGAGAAAAGACTAAATCTGTAGAGCAAGATAACGATTGACTGATGACTTAAAAGATTGCAAATTATATGAATCAGGAAAGCAAGATGAAGGAAGCGAATTCCAAAGAACTGATGTTCGAGGAAAAAAACTAGAAGAATAAGAGTTTTTGAAGCACTTAGGAACAGTCACAGAAAAAGGATGAGACTTAATTGAATGGTGAGTAACACGAGAATGAATTTTAGTAGATGGCACAAGGGACGCTAGCTCTTTAGAGCAGTGCCCATTATAGTATTTGTAGAAAAGAGAAAGAGAAGCAACATTACGACGATGTGACAAAGGTTGGAGATTGGCTGCCAGAGCAGGTCCAACTATGTTTACAATTCGTTTTTGCACCTTGTCTAAAAGAGAAAGAGCATCATTAGAAGATCCGCCCCAGATGTGGCAACAGTATTCCATACAGGGACGGATTTGAGATTTATAGAGATAGAGAATAGAATCTGGAGTAAGAAAGTGTCGAGCTCGATAAAGAGATGCAACCTTAGCAGATGCTAATTTTGCAATGGATTTGATATACGGTTTAAAAGAAAGATCAGAAGTAAGAGTTAATCCTAGAAGATGAATGGTAGATGACTCATCTAGTACATTACCATTCATAAATATAGGAAGATCTAAATTATTACGATAACGATTGGCCGAATAAAATTGAGTTTTATCTGAATTAAAGTTCACCAGCCACTGTGAGCCCCATGCTGTAGCAGAAGTGAGATCCTTTTCAAGCTCAGATACCCCCTCCAAGCAATCAGAGAGTGTAGGCTTCTTATCATGACAAGAGTAAATGGTAGTGTTGTCAGCGAATAATGCCACCTTAGATGTGAGAATATCTGGAAGATCGTTAATGTAAATTAAAAAGAGTACAGGGCCAAGGATTGAACCTTGAGGAACCCCTGAAGTTACAGGATGTGAAGAAGAGTGTTGTCCATCAAGGACAACTTTTATACTACGATTGGAAAGAAAGGACTCAATAATCTTAAAGACGTTACCAGCTACACCATAAGAAGAAAGCTTATGGAGAAGACCAGCATGCCAAACTTTATCAAAAGCTTTAGAAATGTCAAGTGCGATAGCCTTAACCTCTCCACCTCTATCTAATGCACGGTAAAACCTATCGGTTATTACTGTTAGCACATCAGCTGTAGAACGAGAAGACCGAAATCCATATTGATGATCAGAAAGTAAGTTATTTGATTCAAGATGAGAGATTAAGTGTTTGTTGATTAAAGATTCAAAAACCTTGCTTATGACAGGAAGAAGACTAATGGGGCGGTAGTTAGATGAATCAGATCGCTCTCCGGAATTTTTGAAAATAGGGATAACAGATGCTGCTTTCCAGCATGATGGAAAACAAGACTCTGATAAGCACTTGTTAAATAGTTTAGAAAGTATGGATGAAAGCTCCGGAGAACACCTCTGCAAGACTACAACAGGAATGTTGTCAGGACCACAAGCTGTTGAAGAGTCTAAGCAGGAAATTACTTTAGATACAGAAGCTGAAGTGATGCGAATGTCAAGCAAGGGATCAACCTGTTTGACGGCTATGTCAGGTAAAACGCAACTAGTGGAATCAAGAGATGATATTGATGAAAAGTTCTTTGCAAACAATTCAGCTTTGTCTTTAGGTGAGGTGACAAAGTCTGAACCATACAAGAGAGAAGGAATAACAGATTTGCCCTTATTATTGATACTGTTAAAGATTCTCCAGAAGTCTCGAGAGCCTAATTTTTGTGATGAGATACGAGATTTAATGACCTGGGAATAGCGAGCTTTAGCGTCAGACAAAACCTTTTTACAATGGTTTCTAGCGATAGTGAACAGATGTCTGTTTTCTGGAGAATTGTTTTGCTGATAGATATGGAAGTAACGGTTTCGATTAGAAATTGCTGCAGCGCAATGTGAGGAAAACCAAGGAGAAGAGTGAGGCTTGACCTGGAATCGTCGAGAGGGAATAAAAGATTCCATGCCAGCCTGAATCCACAAAGTTATGTAAGAAGCACATTTGTCAGCAGGAAGACGAAAGATTTCTACCCAAGGGCCATCACGAAGAAAATCACGGAAAGAGTCCCAGTCAGCTTTAAGGTAGTTGTATGTGGTACGATGATAGGGGGATTCTGATGAAGTAGAAGAATTTGATAATAGTTTTAGAGAGATCAAACCGTGATCAGAAGTACCTAAGGGTGAATGTGGAGAAATTGAGCACTGACTAGGATCCAAAACAAGACATAAGTCGAGTAGAGAAGGTAAATGATTAGAGTTGTCTGGAAAACGAGTTGGAAAGTTGACTATTTGAGTTAGAGATTGAGAAAGGCAAAAGTTGAGGGCCTTAACGCCAGCAGAGTCACTGACACTAGAGCCAAGCCAATCGGTGTGATGGGCATTAAAGTCACCAACAACGACGATATTGGCCGATGGATAAAGAGAGAGGGCTTGGTCAATTTGATCAGAAATAACATCAAGAATAGTGCAATCTTGGGATGAAGGAGAGCGATATAGAACAAAGAGAAAGGCGATAGAGTGAAGTTGTGCTAAACGAAAGCACATAAATGAATAGTCTGGAGATTCAAACCTAGTTTCACGACAAATGGGTGAGTTCTTACGAATGTAGATGCCCAGGCCAAGCATGTGATTATTGGAGTCTTTACGAATTAAAGGAAGATAACCATCAACACTAAGATCACAAGATGGGACAGCCGAACTCAAATTAGTCTCACAAAGAGCAAGTAGGTCTGGTGAACTTTGCAAGAGATAAGACTCAACAGAAGAAAAGTTACTTCGAAGACCACGAATATTAGTAAATGATAGGTTTAGAGAACTTGGTGATGACGATGGTTTTTTGTGTTTATTAGTTTTAGGTACTTTAGTCATTTTAAATTTATAAAGAACTTGACTCAAGTATAGATAGTACTCAGTACACTATTTAACAACTAAGCAATAGCCTCATTACTATTAATAAACCCTAAGCCGTAGCAAAGGGCTCCAAATGTGGCCTCTGCAATGCACACCAAAAGTACAAACAGGGACACCATCCATGCGCAACATGGCACTGTTAGTACTCTGATATTTTTCGGCTGTTGATGGAATCAGCCTCTCTGAGAGCTACCACAGAGTTCGGGAAACCTGACTACCAGCCGGCCTCAGAACCATAAAACTGAGTTTTAGAGCTGTACCCTCATAAGGAGATAATAGAATGAGTTGCCCAGTCATAAAAATAGAGACACAAGCAATACCCATGCATTGAGTCAAGAAGATCCAGCGTTCAACATCCTAAACTGGAAACAATGTATTAAAAATACATCTGCGCCAGCCTAATAGATGAGGAAGGGGTGCGAGGCTGGTCAACAGATAGAATCTGTTTACCCCTTAAGTCTTTGCCTAGGAGGCCTTCTACAAGACCTAGGAGGCCTTCTACAAGACAGCAGCTGGATGCATGTAACATCTGCCCAAGATGAGTATTTTTATCGAGACACCATCTCTAGCCTTTACTCAACCAAGAGCCCCAAGGCAGGGGGTGTTTTAATTCGGAGTTAACTTCTCCTAGCCTTTGCCTAAAAAAGCGTATCCTACAAGGCAGCAGGACATGGAGCAGGTTGTACTGGGTTACATGTTACCAGTAGCAGGAAAACCTGACCTGACCTTAAACCTGACCAGGAAAACCTGACCTGGAAACCTGACCAGGAAAACCTGACCTGACCTTTGCTGACAGTCCATCGACACCCTAAAGCATTTACCAGTGTAACATCCTGCCTTCCATCAAAACCAATACATAGTAGTTTCTATCTTGCATCCTCATAAGTTGGGATTTGTATCTTAGGGAGCTTTGCTTCAGTTCCAAACACAGAGTGTTCTGCAACACTTCTTGTACAAATTGACACCATGTTGGTTAATATAAAGAAATTTATCAGTATAATTCAATTAAATCTAAAATATAACAATAAAATATGTTAATTTGCTTGAATTAAAGTATGGAAATATGTAATTATAAAAAAGAATCAAATATGTTATTATATTGAACTATATCAAAAATAAATAAAAGAATTGTCAAATGTTAAAACTAAAGTTAGGACTCTTCATACTTTCAAAAAAAAATTATTTTTATTTTGGCAAAGTATTGCAATCAATTCTGTGTTTTTTTTTTTATATATTTGTTTGTAAAAAATGTTTTTTTTTAGGTTTTATCAATACGTGTTGCAACCTGAGTTGTTATTTAACAAAGATGGAGAAATAATTAATGATCAAGCTGCAACATTTTTAAGTCTACCACATTCTGCCTTGCTTACACTTATTATGGATACACCTCAAAGCTGGTTAATTGAAGCAGTTGGTTCAAATCAAGACTTGGATAACATTAATTTAGGAGAAGTGAGTTATTTTAATTATTTCAATTTTTCATAAGAAATATGATGAAATGCCTAATTATGCGAGTTTTTTTTTTTCTTCTTACCAAGCTAATGCTTTTAAATTGTTTTTCTACTGAGCTATGCATGATGAGCCATAGATTTAAACTCAAACACTCTGTCATGCTTTGTTTTTTTTTTACATTTTATTTTGATAGATACATATGGTAAGCTAAAGACTGAAACTTAAACATTCTTTTGTGTTTTTTTTTAAATTTTAATTTGATTTATTTGGAAAATTAAATAAATTTTGGTATTAAACTTTCTAAAGTACTTTATAATTATTTTATTTTATATACTATTACAGTTTTATCCTCAAATTAATTTTTGTTTTTAGGCTTCAACATATGTTTATGGTGATTTTGAGTTAGAGAACATAATTGTTGAAGGTAAATTATAAGCAATTTTCTTGTTTAAATCAAGCTTTAGACAGAAAGCGTTCATTCATTTTCATTCAACTAAAAATTATTTTGTCATAAAGGTCATTGTTCTGATTCCAACACTCATCAACCTCCAAGAGGACTTCAGTTCATTCTTGGTACAGAAAAAGAACCAGATCAGTTTGATACAATTGTTATGGCAAACTTTGTATGTTTAACAATATTTTTTTATATTTGTGCATTAATAGATTTTTTTCCATAAGAAGACCCTTAATTTTACATTTTTTAATAAAAAAAAAAATTGATAATTCTTTATACCTAGGATTTTATTTAGGGGTATTTTCAATTGAAAGCATTTCCAGGTTCATTTGTTCTACAATTGCGAGAAGGGCGTTCTTCTCAAGTTTATGAGATGGACAGGTAGTTAAGAAATTAGATAAAATAATAGTAATTTAAAGATAACTTTATTAATTTCATAATATAAATTTTAATGAAATTAATAATTTCATCACATTCATAGTTTATTATATATAGTTATTATTGTTTGTTTATTTTAGTTTAACAGGTGGGGAAGAGTTATCTCCTGGACAAAACTACACTGTTTTTATTGATAGCTTTTCTGGAAAGTTTCTAAAAGTTAAGGTAACTCTTAAATTTTTTACAGATCACTTTTCTTGATTTTAGCTAAATGCTATTTAAAAAATTTTAAATAAGAAGTTATCTGTTTATTAAATCATGCCTTAAGAGAGGAACGGAATTTTTTAAAAAGAAGAGATTAAGACAATTATCAAGGCTTCATGTTATTTAGACATCTTCACTCTCAGTTACAATTCTTATCAGTTTATTTTTCAGTTTTTCTAAAGTTTTTTAATAAGACTATCTCTAAAATGCTAAAAATACAAAAAAAGATTTTAAAATATGTGTTTATGGTTTTTATTTATTCATATAAGATGACAAGATTTTTCAATCATTGTTATGTTTAGTATTTATTTTACATGTTAAGGATTTTCGTTGGAGGATTATTCATTTTACATGTTATGGATTTTTTTGAAAGATGAATTGTTTTACATGTTAAGGATTTTTGTTAAAGGATGATTCATTTTACAGTATTTTTAAAAATATTTTTGTTTCTAAGATCCTAGTAATTAGTTTATTAATTTATTTATGCATATTTATGGATATTATTAAAAGACTTTTTGAACAATTTCATTTTAAATATTCACTGGGTAGCAAGAGTCCTAAATAACAAAATCAGTCAAGAAAGGGAAGGCATTCTAAACTGCTATTTTTCAGATTTGTCTTTAATAGAACAATAGATGGCCCTTTTTATTTATTGATTCTACTTCTTAAATAGGTAAACTATATTTTTGTGGTTGTTGTATGTTGCATTTAATATTTTATTGTTAATAATATTGAATACAGCATTTTATTGTACCATAATTTGTATTTTATATGTCGTTTAAGCTAATATTGCATCTCAGGAGTTTATCGTTCACCCATTTTTTAAAACTTACTAAGGAATATATTCTGTATAAATTTGTTCAGGTTAAACGCAGAGAGGGTCAAGCTAAAACTGATTTGTTATCTGATGATTCAGGAGATAGTAGCAGTGAAAATGACTTTGGAATCTGGCATTCATTTACTAGGTTGAATTTTTTTACTTTGTTGTCAAGTTTTTTTATGTAGTGTGATTTTGTACTTTTGTATTACACAATAACAATTATTTTATGATTCACTGCTTTTTTATATTTTCAATTGATTTAGTAAAAATTTTTTTTTTAAATAGTTATGTTAAGAGTGAAGCAAAATCATCAAAGAATACTGATGGCAAAATACATATCTTTTCTGTTGCTACAGGTTTGCTCTATGAACGATTTTTAAGGTTAGTCTTTTACACTAAAATCATAAATAAGGAGTAGTTATGTAATTTTCATGGTGCAAAGTTGAAGCCTATCACATATCTTTGTACTTTATAGCTACAGAGATAGGGTTATAAGAGGAAGCAATAAAAGAAAGGACCTTTTATAGACTCTTGTAGCCCTTTGAACTTGGAGAGACAAAATGCATAAACCTTTAAAAATATAACTTTTTTATTTAACTAAATAAAATAATTTTAATTGAGTATAAATAATTTTATATAAAGAAAAAAGAAAATTTTTCTAATAAAGTTCTTTTTTTTTTTTAGAATTATGATGTTGTCTGTGCTAAAGCACACAAAAACGCCTGTTAAGTTTTGGTTTTTGAAAAACTACTTGTCATCAAGCTTTACTGTAAGTTTATAAATTTACTAATTGAAAAAAATGTCTATTATTCAGAAACTATTTTTTTCTGTGTAACATGATGAAATCTGTCTAGAATATGTGTCTTTTTAACCGATTCTCTCCCAACAAGACTGCAAGCAATCACAAACAAAGTTGGGAGTTGGCAAAATGCAAAGAAGAGAGTTGAAGAACAAGAAAACAGTTAAACTTGTTGAAAACAGGACAAAAAAGAATTCTAAAGCTCGAATGTTTATTGAAACAAATTTAGACATTTTTTGAGAATAAAGAAACAGTTACAGTATAGTAAAAAACAAGCAAGAAAACAGTTGATAGAAAACAAAGAGAACTGTATATTTTAAGAGTTTGGAAAGCGTGAAGAGAGAAAAGAGTTCCATGTAATTGGTTTTTCAGGAGAAAAAAAAAGACAAATAAAAGTTTTTTGAACATGAATAAAGCTTTTTGAGCATGAATAAATTTTTTTTAGAATAAATACATAGAACAGTAAAAGGATGTTTACTTAATGCCAATTTGCAAAATTGAATGCAAGATATAATGCAAGATTATATTTTGATGATTGAACAAGAAATAAAAACTTGACCAACAACCATGATAATATTGGTAAAAATAAGAAAGAGATGCAACCTAGTAGTAACCTAGCAACGAGGCAGATGATCATGCTTGACAGCTACATTAGGTTCAACTGAATTTTCAATGCCTGTTTAGACTTTGTCCAAATAGGCAATATAAATGCAGTTTTGAACAAGGCCATTTTCAGAAGAGTTAGATCAACAATGACAATAATATTCCATACAAGGACAAAAAAGATATTTAAAGAGGTAGAAAATGGAATCAGGAATAAGAAAATGCCAAGTGTGATAAAGAGAAGCAGCCTTAATAAATGCTAACTTTGCAATGTGATATGGACTCAGAATAGTTAGATCAATAACGACAATGTGATATGGACTTCATGATCAGTCAGTTGTAAAAGTTAATCTAAATGAGCAGAGAAATAAGTAAAAATGTTATAAAGCATAAAAGAGAGTTGTTTATCAATATCCACAATATTGCAATACCAACAATATTGCAATATCAACAATATTGCAATATCAACAATATTGCAATATCAACAATATTGCAATATCAACAATATTGCAATATCAACAATATTGCAATACCAACAATATTGTAATATCAACAATATTGCTATATTAACAAAGCAATATAAAATAGAGAAATAAGTAAGAGAATTGTTTATCAGTATTGCAATATCAACAATACTGAAATATCAAAAATATTGCAATATCAACAATATTGCAATATCAACAAATAGCGATATCAACAATATTGCAATATCCACAATATTGCATTATCAACAATATTGCATTATCAACAATATTGCATTATTAACAATATTTTAATATTAACAATATTGCAGTATCAACAATATTGCAATATCAACAAAGCAATACAAAATAGAGAAATAAGTAAGAGAATTGTTTATCAATATTACAATATCAACAATACTGAAATATCAACAATATTGCGATATCCACAAAGCAATATCAAATAGAGAAATAAGAGAATTGTTTATCAATATTGCAATATCAATAATATTGCAATATCAACAATATTGTATTATTAGCAATAAAAAACTGAGGTTTGGTTGAAATTTACTGAACTTTATTTACAATAGGAACATAACTTGCCCAACCAGTCGTCTTGCTAGTTATAGTAAGATGGCTGGTTAGGCAATTAAGAGGTCAAATTTATCTCAAGTTTTTTAAAAAATTAGAATACAGATGTCTTTTTTCAGCAGTCAGAAAAACAAGATTTAGTTTAGAATTTTTTCAGAGTAATGGACCTCAGCATCAAACCAAAAACTTTTTGAATTGGTTTCTTGCAGCGAGAAAAAGTTATTTTTGCAAAAAAGATGCAAAATATAATTGCAATTAGAAATAGCTTTTGCCCTTAAAAGAGTTAAAACTGACAAGAAAAAAAAAAAAAGCTTCCATGCCTGGCTGAATCTCCTGGATTTAGGCAGCTTTATATCTATTCCAGCTTATTTGATAAAGAAGGGGTGTGAGGCTGATTAACCAAAATTTTATGTTTACCTCTAATGTTTTTGCTTAGCAGACTTTCTGCAAAATAATATCTGGATAGAGTCAACATTTTTCCAAGATGAATATTTTAGTTGAGGCATCATCTCTAGAATTTTCTCAATCAAGAACTTGAGACAGAGAAAGTTTTTAACTCAAAGTTCTGCTTTGACTAGAAAAGATGCTAATATATCATCAAATAGACAATTCGAACTCTAACTTCACTTTAACTGTTTAAAAACAGTATTTGTTTTATATGCTTTGACCATTTAGAGATTCGAAGACAATATATTTATTAATTTTCACATATAGTTATATAGCAATGGACAATCATTTAACAAAGAAAAGATGAAATAAAAGTTCTTAACAATAGACTGAGGAACAAACTTATTTGCTGTAATTTATATTTTAACAGAAAAACAAAAAAAACTAAAAACAAAAACATTCTGAATCAAAATACAATTAATTCAAATTTGAAAAATTATTTAAAATTATTAAAAGCTTCTGTTTTATTTATTTTATAAACTTTTTTAATTTTTTTTTTTAATTTTTTTTTTTACTAAATATTCAGTTGTTGTCATTTTTTTTTGGAAAACTTCAGCTTGAAGTAATAAATTCCCAGAAATTGCTGGTGTCTACCCACCACCCCTCTACCTAAATGTGTATACAGTGCATTATATAAATGGTTTATATAAAATGTAATTTTTTTCTCAACAAATTAGACTTTCCTTCCTCATTATGCAGAAAAATATGGCTTTGAATATGAGCTGGTTCAATACCAATGGCCAAGATGGTTAAATGCTCAAACTGAAAAACAAAGAATAATATGGGGGTAATTTTTATATGCTTTTTAAAAAATTTTGGTATCAAAGGTTTGTTGCGTATATAAATTTTACATTATTTATGACATGTTTAGTATTTGTTTTTATTTCATGTTTTTACATATAATCTATCTTTATACATACATATGCATATAATTTTACTTACATTTGTATATAATATATTAAATAAAAACAATTTATTTGATCATTATAATTTATTAAGTAATTGTAATATCATAAATAGTTATAATAAGCTAAATAATTATAAATAAATTTACCTAATAGATATAAAATTTTATTCTTGGATGTGTTGTTTCCTTTAAACTTGGAAAGAATCATATTTGTAGATGCTGATCAGGTAACTTTTATGTTCATGTTTAATGTTTTTTTTTTACCTATAGTTTTCAAATCTGTAATGGACACGGGTATATTTATGGTTTATTTTATGTTTGTTCAGATTGTGCGTGCGGATCTTAAAGAATTAATGGACATGGATTTAGAAGGAGCACCTTATGCCTATACACCATTTTGTAATGATAGACCTGAAGTTGAAGGATTCAGGTAAAGATAAACCTTATGTTTATTATTTATTACATTCAACTTATACTCACACTTGAGTTTATTATTTATTACATTCAACTCATATTCACACTTGTTTAATTTTTTGTCATGTTACAATAAACTTTTCTTGCATTTCATTCCAATTCTTTCATTCTTGCAATTATCTATTCAAATGTCTTATGCATATAAATAACCTAATTTAAAAACAGTTTTTATAAATAGCTATTGTTTTTAATTTCCTTTTTGATATGAGAAAATTTTGTTTTAAAGAATAATTTTTTAATGTGTTTGCATGTTTTTGCTTCACTACAACCAAACTTAATTGATTTAATATTTAGGTTTTGGAATCATGGTTATTGGAGAAATCATCTTGGTGGTCGTCCATACCATATTAGGTAAATTTATTATTTACCACCCTTTTTTTTAAGTTAAATATAAAACTCTATATTTTGAGTATAGTCTTATATAGATTTGTTATACTTTATTTTAATGTTTAGGAAATATATTATATATATAAATTGTGTCTAGATATTTTAATATTTTCACCCTGACTAGTAGAGATAATAGACATGGGTTAATAAATGACCAGTTAAAGCTAAAAATCATTTTACTTTGAATAAGGCTTCCAAGTAATAGTATAAGTCTCTATGACTTGTATTATTAAACAATATGTGTATGCCAAGTTAAGTATTTCAAAGAATGGAGTTAATTATTTTAAAGGATGGAGTTAATTATTTCAAAAGATAGAATTATTTAATTCAAAGGATGGAGTTCATTATTAAAGTTAATTATTGGGTTAGATTAAAATTTTCATAGTATTGTTTGGGTCAAAGATCCTATTTAAATTTTGTACTTTTACATCTTAAAAGATTTTACATCTTTTACATCTTAAAAGATTTTACATTTTAAAGTTTTATATCTTAAAAGATTTTACATCTTTTACTTTTAAAAGGTTTTACATTTTAAAATGGATTATTAGTATTTAAAATGGAACAAAAATTTATTTATGATTACTATACTTGCGTTCTTTTTTCTTAATTATTAGTGCATTATATGTTGTGGATTTAAAGCGTTTTAGAAAAGTTGCTGCTGGTGATCGTTTGAGAGGTCAATATCAGGTAAAATTATATATTTTCAAAAGTTTATACTTTTATAAAGTTATTTTAGAAGTTTTAAATTTTTAAGAAATCAACTTGTTATATGTCATGTTTGGATTGCTACATCATACAAGTTAAAGTTTATAAAAAAATTTATATATATTGAGTTTATATATATTTTTAGTTTACCTAATATATTAACAAATGGGAAAAAAATGTTTTTAAAAAATGTTTTAGTAAATTTTGTAAATATTATATACACATATATATATATGTAAGTTTTACTTGTTGTATTATTACTAAGCATTTTAAGTATCACTGACTGATGATGCTGGTCATGAGGATTTTCATTGGTAATAAATTTTTGGTTGGTTGACTCAGGAGTCATTTAAATAAAGTTTTTTTGTGTTGTGAGTTATTCCAAATTTTATTACATATTTATTACATATAGTTTCAATGAATTTTTTTACTATATTAAGCTGAACACTATGAAGCTAATGCCATGTGGTATAATTTTTAGTATAATAATTGCTAGAATCAAAAAATTAATACTAGCTAGTAGACATTTAGTAGATCACACAGACAATTTTGATAATAAAACAATTAAATAATAAATTCATTTTGATTTATTTTGTACATGATATAATAAATCTGTTTTGCACATATATATTGTCTTCCACACCTCAGCTTGTTTATGTGTGCACATTTTTTTTGCCACTTTTTTCAACAAGAACTGTTTATTTTCAGTTTTTTCGAAAATATTTTATTTGTTTTTGATGTTTATATTTGTGTGTTAATTCATAATATTCAAATTAGATTTGATTATAATAATGGTTCTTTTATATAGGGGTTATCTCAAGATCCAAACAGTTTAGCAAATTTAGATCAGGCAAGATTGAGTTAATTTTTTAAAATTATTGACATATATATATATATATATATATATATATATATATATATATATATATATATATATATATATATATATATATATATATATATATATATATATATATATATATGTATATATATATATATATATATATATATATATATATATATATATATATATATATATATATATATATATATATATATATATACACACACATATATATATAAATATATATACATGTATATATACATATACATGTATATATATATATATATATATATATATATATATATATATATATATATATATATATATATATATATATATATATATATATATATATATAAATATTTTTGTGATCTACAATCACTAACCAGTACTAATGTCCAGTATCTACCAGAAGTTATTTATTGGCATACATCACCGCTCCCTTAATTGAGCAGGAAACTGCTTCTAATGGCGGCTAACAAGCTGCAATAAATATTATTTTTGAGTCTTGTTCTTCATCAGTGCATTATTGTAGGATGAAGAGAATGGCTCGCTCTGCCATGTCATTAAAAATCTTGAGAAAGGTAATTTTTGCATTCATGTGCTGGAATATTGCTTCATTGGACCGTATAGTAGGTGGCTTCAATAGGAATGACTTAGCCTCTTCTTTTCCATTTCTTAATAGCAAATCAAAGAATAACATTGACCTGCTTGTGACATATTCTGGCAAAGGGTTGTTATAATCAATTGTTTTCTTTTTAAGTTGCCTAACAGCATTCTTGTTTGGTGTACAATTGATTTCATCTTTGACCTACTTGTCAAACAGAGCAAGTTTTACTAGATGTTCTGAAAAGTACCATAAGTGTCACTTTAAAGCAGCGGATGTTTTATCACTGACACAGTGCTCAGGATACTCATCAAGCAGCTTTAGCAGTTTAATGTCATTCAGTAGTGCTTTCTTAGCAAGGAATGCTTCATGCCAGAATCAGGCATAAATGAGCAAAACTAATGGAGAAACTTTCATCAAGCCTCGTGTGCTCTAAGTTGCTTTTGATCTCTGAAAAGGCATATCTTAATAGAATAGAATGCATATACCATCCATCTTGCATTGTGCAGGGCACCTGGTGCACAATAACATAGCAAAAGTATTCCATTAAATACATCATCCGCACTTTGAAACTAGATTTGTTGACAGTTCAGTTCATTTGAAAGCGTTTGAAGACACTAATAGTTGGTCTGCTAGTGGTTGCCACTGTAGCTGAGAATACATCCAACAATATGATCTCAAATATATGGTGACAACATACAGTTCATATCTGTTCACGTTTCAAAGCTTTCTAAATTAATGTGCATGCACCAAGATGAATTCCAGTGCCACAACTAGTTTTTCAAAAACGAGTCCTTGAGCTTGTGAATGTAACTGCCAGTCATCCAGCGCCCCAAGACAAGCAATACGCAGCTCTTCTCTTGTGCCTCTGCCAATTTTTGGCACTGCCAGAAGTTGTTCCACATGCCCACTTGTGACTAAAATGACAACTCTGTCTACAACCTCCTTGCTCCCAGAAATTACAGGAAGTAGTTTGCCATTCCAGTTCAGAAGTAGTGGGGTATCAACCACAAATTCACATTACATTCCTGCACCACCAACGAAATATGTCTTGATTCGTGCTTGTTGAATTGTGTTACAAGATAAAGCAAAATCATCCATATCAATGCCAAGTGCTTGTGCGATAGCACCACAGTTTGCAAGCATTATATAGTCAAGAGCAGCAGCAACCTCTTTTGTAGTGTAAGTTTTTTTCACTCTTTTTGGTTTCGGTTTATGTATTGTTGAAATTGAAGAAGCATCAAAGTCATTATCATTTGAATTGTTACTTGATTTGCTGCTAGACTTGTGGATGTCCACTTGCACTGTAACAGCTGCCAATGTTTGTTGCACTTCAATATAATTTTTTTTTTCTTCGAGAAACTGCCTGCAAAAGCCTATTTTTTTTTTACAAGCCTCTTTATCAGCAAAAAAATTTGTCTACACCAGCCATACTTCCACTAGATCGATCATGCTGCATTATCTGAAGGAACCAATTTTCCTCATCATTGGTCATTGCTATTTGAGATATCAAACAAATCACCAAGATCACTCAGATACAATTGTTCCTTCATTCTACATTTGATTTGGGGTAAACCGGTTGTGTTGAAATGGGGGCTTTACCACAAATCACTAGTGCAACATCAATTGTTGATTTAGCAGTCTCTGCAACTGTCATTCCATGTTCTTGATGATGAAACAGAAAGTTTCTCAAAATCGACCTATTACTAGGCAGTCCAGATCCAATAATTTTTTCACCTGGCATCCCAACTAGCCACACACCAACAACACTCCTAGTTCTGATTGTGATAGCCATATTTGAAATTCTGAAAGTAAAAACATGATTTATGGTTTAATAATAACATGTCATAACATAAATGGTTAGGCTGATTTATTTATCCAGCAAAATGTGATCAAATTAGGGATTCCTAAATATGTTTCATTAGTCCCCTACATTTTTAGAAAGAGTATTATGGTGTAGTGGCAGCCTTGTGGAACCATAACTTTTCAACATTTTTTACCATGGTTATCTGGGCCATCTTATTATATCAGGGGCTTTTCTAGACTTTTTTGACAGCGCCAACCATATTTTGGCGCTGGGCGGCACCCAAATTCGAAGTTGAGGACCTTTTTTTATGGCAAATATTTTGCAAAAAAAATGCTAATATTAGGCAATATATTGTAAATACTATGAATAATTTATTGTCAATAATGTTTCAGGATCTTCCAAACAATATGATTCATCAAGTTGAAATCAAGTCATTGCCTCAGGAATGGTTGTGGTGTGAAACATGGTGCAGTGATGAAAGCAAGAAATATGCTAAAACTATTGATATGGTATTTATTTACTTTTTTTACTTACATGATAAGTTTAAACACAACTGTCCATCAGTGTTATTAATATGTTTTTTTAACTCATCAATAGCACTGATTATCAGTCATAATTCTAGTTGATAAAAACATCTCATAATTATGTTTCCATTAGAAAAGCATTTTTTTAATTTTACACCTAGAGCTAAGCATTAAAAAAAATCTGCCCTAAAATTACTTATATTTAAAATTTATTTTCCTAGAATTAGTTATATTTTAAATGTAAAAAGTGTCACTGCTCAATACAGATTGCGTGTAAAAATATTAAGAGCTTGTAAAAATGCAAAGGTCTTGTAAGAATAAAAGTATAAAATAAAGATTTTTTACACCAATTAGTAGTTACAAGTATATGGATTGTATCATGTACTTGGTAATGTTTGATTGATCTTGTGTTACTACCGTGCTGCTACTTGTATTTTTCTTGTTTATTTCTGTTCATTCAAGTATTTATTTTAGGTTTTACAATAACAGTTACTTATAGTAAGATTTTATTTGCAGTGCAATAATCCACAAACTAAAGAACCAAAATTACAGCGTGCAATTCGTATTGCTCCAGAATGGACAGAGTATGACGATATAATTCGTATGCTTCAAGAGCAAGTTTTTAAGAATTCTTCAAATTTAGAAAAAACATCTTGTAAGTCTTACTTTTATATATTTATCATGTCTTTACTTTTTTACTTAATGACAAATTTTAATTTACCAATTTAACTTTTTTCTTAAGATCAAAAATAAAATGAATAAATTAGTTTTAGCTTTAAAATATAGTAATTTACATATAGCTTAAATTATTATTTCCTAAAATGCAGCAATTTTCAAAAAGTTAATTTTAATAAACTTTTTATCTGTTTAATAAAGCTTTTAAAAGTTTGTTATTCTGTTAAATTCTTTTGGCAATTTAAATTAAAAGAAACAACTTTAAAAATATCAAATTTAGAAATTGTACACTCATGTAATGTAACACCTAATGCTACAACATTGTAAATATATTCTTGCAAAGATTATTTATGTTAGAGACAGTTTAAAGTTATTTGAAATTTTAAAATGAAACTGACTAATACTGACATGAGTCATATAAAGTTTTAATGTGCATATGCAAACACAAAGTTTTATTTATTTAACCTAACTAAAATTGAATATTGACTTTTTATCATGTCAGCATAAAACCTTGGTGTTTAGTAGGTACACCTTAAATCTTAAAAAATATACCAAACAAAATTGCTTTTAAGGTTAGTACAACTTGTTCATAGTTCAATTTGTTCATAGCTTCAACTTGTTGGTAGGTAAGGGTTGTTGGTTAAAATACCAGCAGATTACTTCTAAGAACACATCCTCCCTTAAATACTACACATAAAATTTCAACTGTAGGTTCTACTGGTTTTAGTGAAATTGTATAACAATGATTGGATCTGTATCTCTAGACATCCTAGATGATAAATTAATGACAAGTTACCTTTTTTCCAAACTGAAAATAAAAAAAAAGTTTAAATTTTAAATATTTTTTGTTTTAAAAAAGGTATTAACTATTTGATATATTTGGTTTATATATTATGATCTCTTGGCCTGGTTTCTCATAACAACAACAAAATTAAAATTTATATATTATATTTTTTTATCCAAGTAAATGCAGTTATATTTAGGTTTTTCGGGGGAAAAAATCAAAAAGTTAACTTTTCATCACCGAGGGAATTCAAAGTTAATGGAATCAAAGAAAAACTTCATAATAGCTTTTTTCGAATCACAAAATAAAATTTTTTTTAAATTGCTTTGCAACCTATGTACTCTATTTTTAAATTTTGCGTAGTTTTTAAAGATAACTTACATGTACATATAGTCTAAAAATTTAAAATTATTTTAAAGTTTCCGAGATTTCCATCAATTACGATTTTGTCATTATTTTTAAACTTGACATAAAGCACTATAATTGGGGTAATAGCTACCCTGACTATGAGACAGTATTTTTGTAACATTTTATTTTTTTTACTATTTTGTAACATTTTTAATTAACCTTGTCTTGTCATTTTACAATAACTTCATATTGAAAACGTTTAAATTTATAATTTTTTTCTTTTAGCAAATCCAACCCAGGATTCTAAAGAAGAACTCTAGAAAGACTTAGGATTTTATCAAATTTTATTTAATTGTTTTTTCACCACGCATCATTTTAATAATGAAAAAACTTGAAAAAATTGACGCTTTTGTTTTTTTGTTTTTAAATTTTTTTTTTTTTTTTTTTTACGCGTGTTGGTAAGAAACATTTAATCCCAGTTGAAGATAAAACCAGATTTATCTCTTATACTTTATGCCTAAATTCATCTAGCCATTAATGATCGGAATTGGGGGCTAGTAGAAAACCTAGAGTTTTATGGCTGTCTTGCAAACTTGATATTAGGATATGAGCAAAAGCGTAATCAATCAATTCTTTTCATTTTGTTTCGTTTTTTTATTTTTTGTCAATGCTGATCAAATTTGCTCCGTTTAAATTTTTTTATAAGTGCTGGATTACATATTAAAAATAAAACTATACTAATCTATACATATTTATACTATAGGAAAATACATATTTCATTTTGTATTTGATTAAGCAGTTCAATCGTGCTTAAAAACATTATTTTTCAATTGTATTGGAATAGTATTATTACTGTTTATAATTAAGTGGTTGCGATTGCCAAAATTAATTAAAAAATTCAATGTTTTTAAAATATGAGACCCTTAATATTATAGCTTCTGATTAAGTGTTTCATTCAAGTTTTATGAAACACTAAAAATATTCCGACTTTTCCAGGATTTCCAGTTAGCTGGCCACCCTGGTATAATATTATTATAACAGCATGCAAATGTATATTAGTATGCACCTTTTGATTCTTAATTGCCCTCTGCTAAATGCCTGAGGCTTGTAACATATTTGCAAGGTAAACAGCTTACAAGTTTGCTGTATGAATCATTAGTTTAGGCAATGTGATTGTAACAAAACCTAAAGATTCCTTAGGCAACATATAGCAAATCTTTATATTTACTTTTAATAATTTTGTTCTTGCGTGTGTGTGTGTGTGTATATATATATATATATATATATATATATATATATATATATATATATATATATATATATATATATATATATATATATACATATACTTGGCATAGAAGGAAGACAATACAGTATGCCTTTAAAGCAACTTTAGCTTTTTTTTTATTTCGTTTTTCGCTAACTAACCACATCATAAACAATTCCTAATTTAAATAAAATTTTCAAGCTGTTTTCGAGGCAAAATTAGAAATTACTTCATCATATGACAATGATTTCGCGAGATCATTTTCAATAGACAACGCCATAAGATTTGAAAGTCGCTCTTGTCCCATGGTGGCTCTGAAGTGGTTTTTTATAATCTTCAGTTTACTAAAAGATCTTTCACCCCCTGCAACGGATACTGGCATTGTGTGGAAGATGTGCAAAAGTATGCATATCGACGGGAAAATTGGTTGTAAGCCTTTGGAATATATTTGATTTAAAAGATTGAGAGAGTTGCCTTTATTGAACAAGGAAGATGCTTTCAACCGGTCAAAGTGGCAAATTTCCTCAATAAGATCGTCTTTTTAATGTCATTTGAATAGAATTTCGCAAGTTGACGAGCTTTGTCATCTTGTGAAGAAGGGTCTTCAGACTGAAGCCAGATAAAGGAAAACTGAGAAGAAACCTTTTTCACCACATACTATGACTGAATTTGTAGAATTATGTGGCCCAATGCCACGTTGAAAATATTTACTTAAAAATTCTTTTCTGTATCGTCGTGGTAATAGGCTATACTTGATGGTTCCTCGTGGAATTTTTTCACTCTTTTTGTGCGTTTTACTTTAAATTCTGTTTCAAAGCCTAGGTTTCCAGCCACTAGCTTTGCTTCAGTCAAAATACAATTCCACGACGAACGAATGCGACCTAGGTCATCTAGAAGTAGTTGAATGAGGATGACTTCTTCTTCAATGGCGATTGACTCCGACTGGAGACATCGACTATCATTATCAATATTTTGCAGTGTCTTATACCAAATGGTCAGAAGAACTACTGATTCAAATGACTTAAAATCTTTGCCTGACAATTTCGCTTGATTCAACATGTCCACTGTTAGGTCAAATTGATTAACGGTTCTATCCAGAGCAGCAATGATTTCTCATGGTTTTTTCACTAAAGGTTTTACAGCTGCTATGTGGGCTGACCATCTAGTATCCGAGAGATTGTGAAATGATAAAGCAGTCTCTTCGTGAAGAATTTTTCATCTTGCTGGGCTGCAACTAAAGAACACGCAGAGGGAAATTTAAACTATGAGCACCGCAAGGAATGCATAAAACAAACGGATTTTTTCCAGTATATGAGCTTGGGCTCCATTATAGATTCCAGCCATATTAGAACAGTTATCGTATACTTGGCCACTCAATTTTTGTAAATCGAGACTCACTTTCGCTAAAACGTTGCAAATTAAATAAGCAATATCTGCACCTTTCATTTTCTCCATATCTTCAACGCAGAGAAATTGTTCTTTAACTTCCCAAATCATCTTACCCGAGTTGAATCGCACAAATCGAAGAATAAACGTGATTTGTTCGATGTGAGATACATCTGGGGTCCCATCGGTAATTATTGTAAAATATACGGCATCTTTTACTTCTTTCACAACTGCTGCTTGAACTAATGTAGCGCATTCACTGATGAATTCGTTTTGTGATTGCCAGGAGAGATAGTGAGCTTGGATTTCAAGATGATTCTTTAATGTTTCGTTGTGACGAGAAATAAGTTCATGGCAACTTAAAAAGTTCTCTTTCTCGTTCTTCTCCATCGACGAATATTGCCCTAAAACAACGTTTTATAAGTTAGTTAAATGTAGATAATAGAAATTCTGTAAAATACTAAAAATAAGAACTTATTCTTAAGTATTTAGAGTTCTGGCCTAGAATATTTACCTCTAAAAGATAAGTTTTGAGATGTTAAAAATAAAATTGCATCTAAAATACAACGAAGTATTTCACGCCATCTGGCTACTTCTTTTTCTAGTGCCTTTTGAAACTCTGAGTCGATCCCGCGCTGATCGACCAGTTCAAAGTCATTATCTCAATTGGAAGACTTTGCTGAGTGCAAAGTCTTCCAATTGAGATAATGACTTTGATGAACTGGGTTGCTATGATGACTTTTGATACGATCACTCAATTTTTTCCAGTCATTTTTTATTTCTCCATTCCAGCAAAGAAGAAGAGTTCGATCCCCATAGGATTCGGAATTATCACACCCAAATAAAGAACACGGGAAACAAAGTAGAGAGTTAGACGATGGGCTCCATATCAGATAAGCTTGCTGAACTTTTTCTCAATTAGGCAATGCAATGAAAAGAACTTCTTTTGGAAGGGCCCTGTTATTAGAAGCATCTCGTGGGAAATCATCAGCTAAAGTTGACGCACCTTTTTTGATTAACTCTTCTTTTTCTCTTTGCTTAAGAGAAAAAGAAGAGTTTTTCTCTTTGCTTAAGAATCGATTGCCAGAGTGCAGGGTCATTTTCAACGCCTGAATTAAAAAAAATTAATTAAAACCTAATACTTAATTAATTATTTAACAATTTTGAATTATTGTTTGTATAAAAACCTTTATTTTTTTTGGGCTTTAATTATTCATCGTTAAAACTGTCGTCTGTTTCATTTTCCACTGAACCAAGAGAATGTAGATCAATATCATCATAATACAATGATTCCATTGTTTGTTTTGATTTATTTAGTTCCACCGACTTAAAAAAAGTTTAATTATTTTTCTTAAATTGCTTCGGAAATAAAAGAAATATATTTATTGACCTATATATTTCTACTAACTCACCTTCAAATCAGTATTTTGATTAGTAGCTTTGTAAAACCAACCTAATTCTTGGAGCGTTTGTTTATTTTTTTCACAGTCTTTTGCTCTTTTGGAAGCCAATGCCCGATTTTGGGCACCAGAAAGTTTTTTACGATTCATTATCAACAGTTACTGTAAATAACAGTACGAATCAATAAAATAATAGCCAAGTCAAATACGCAAACTCATCAAAAAATAATAAACTCAAAAAGCTAATGTCATAAATCAATATTTCAATAGTTGAATATAAATACATCGTAAACATGAAATACCATAAATAAATCGATCATGAAAAATAATCTTATTATAATTTGCGTAGTGAATTTTATTATTATTATTATTAGTGCGCATAGTTACGCCTATTGTTTAAGAGTTACGGTAGTACGGTTCTAAATTTTGTAAAATACACTTTTTAAGTTGTTTCTTGACTTTTCTTAACCGCGTGCTCTGTAGTAGATTATTCCCACCGCCTGAATTATTCCATCCCCCCTATGAAAAACTCAAAACAAGATTGCGCTTTCGGGTTATAACTGTTAGAAGTGTACCTAAAACGTCCGTGCTACCTTTGTAAACATAAACAAAGAGAAAAAAACGTTTAGATGACAAGAATTTTAGAAATAAAGTTTACATAAAAGTAATATAAGAAAAACGATATAAGAAAGTGTCGTAATGATAGAAAATAAACAACTATATACTAATTAGTTATTTATTTGCATGAAACTATTTTACAAATACTTTTATTATATAACAGTATATGTAAAAGTAAAATTCAGACAGATATAAATTATATCTCTCTGAATTAATACCTCTCCTTTATAAATCGCTCAATGTAAGACAGTCTGATCTTTATTACAGTATAATGATTAAAATTCTACAACTATAAAATAATTAATAATTAGTTGATAGTTGTATAATTTCTGTTTAAACGGAATAAATTAGTTATATAATTATGTAAAATTAATTTACAAATATCTGTCTGAATTATACCCTCCCCCTGAGTAAATTACTAATCTTGCCTCTGAATTATTTCCTTTTTCCTAGCTAATCATTTAATAAAAGATGGTGTGGTAATGGTATTGAGTGATGCAATAAATTAGGTACGTGAGTAAAAATTTCAAATTGTTTGAATACTATAATGTTATATATCATTAGAAAGAGGATTATTACAGTATTTTAAAGGTGAAAAAATTATCAAAATCAAACAATTGGTTCAAAAGTTATGACGGTTTAAGTACGGATTTTTTGATATTAGGATTTGTTGAAGAAACTGTGGTCAAAATAATGTTTTTCTTTACTTAAATTGTCATAACTTTGTCAATTC